TGTTGTTTTAATGTTTAGAGCTCCGCTATTGTTGTTAGCTGGAACATGCTATACATTGCAACTATTTTTGGAAGATGGAGAATGTGTACAAGGTAGTGTTGGAGCAGAAATTAGACAATGTAGTAATGTGGATGGGGGTCAGAATCAAATTACATTCAAGGAACCTGTTAGTGGTAATACAACTGTGAATGGTGGTCAGTTTCCTATACTTGTATTGTCTAAGCCTTAGATTTTCAAAATTCAATTAAACAAAATTCATAAACACCATCGACTGGTCCATACGGATTAACCTCAAAGCACACAAAAAGTCCAAAATTACACAGGAATAACCATGAAACATATCCTTTATAGTGAAAAAAGAAGGTTTTTTTTATTTGTTTTCCCATGATATAGCTACTTGCCATAAATCTTTAATAAAACCAGTTTTCCATAGCTATATTATGGTAGAACAAATAATTTGAAAAATGATATGTGTTTATAGTATTCTTTGATTTTTAGGGTACCGGTAAATTCATATAGAAACCCATTGTCAACTTCTTTGGTATTAACAAAGTCCATTTGCAATTTCTATCATAATTAATGATAAAAATCGTCAGAATATTTTTTCCTGTTTTCTCTACAGTTTTTGAAAAGTGAATGTTTTAATTTTCAAAAAATGGTTGTGTTATCAGTTTAAGGTAGAATAGCGGGTCTAGATGTCAATTGTTATGATTTGTAATAATTTTCTAAAATATAGTCTATACCATGCTTTCTAAAAATATGGTAAACAGCATACTAGTTGATCAAAGAACTATTCAAAAGCAAAAAAAATAGTTCCTTTTGTCTCACATGATTTTTTTTATTTTAGTTATGGAAAACAACATAACAATTTGATTTTAAGTTAAATTATGAGACGTTGGCTCTTAATATTTGCTTTCAAGGGAATCGTTCTCTTGCTACACACCGAAATAGTTAATTTTACCACACTATACTTTATAAGAGTTGTTGGAGTTGTCTCCCCTTGTAAAGTAAATTTTTGTTGCTTTTTTTTTGCAAGTTAGAAGAAATCTAATAAAAAAATGATGTATTTAAAAAAAAATAATAATTATAATGAGACCCAACCCAAAATGTTCATCTTTTTGATGAAATGTATTACTAATGAAATCCATTCCATTTCCAAAATTTGAATAGGTTATTTAAACTGTAGATCTATTATTATTTTCTATATTAAAATACAATAAGACGAAAGACATCTCATCTACCTTAAGCACATTTAAAAAAAAATATGAAAAGTTCACAGTTGTTTAACCATTAACAGCTGCATTAAATGGCCATTTAAAACAGAAACAAATACTTCTCAGATATGCATACAAGGAGATGTTGTTTATAAAATTACTTTGTATATAAAGTAGCTACTGAACAGTGCTCTGCCAATAACAATATTTTTGTGTATGTATGTATATAGACTGATAAACTGGAAGAGACAGGGTTTTTTCCTGCATTACTCATATTGTATAAAGTAACCTGTTATATTTTAAGCTTAACTTGCATTGTATAAAATTTGCTTTCAGATTTTAAGGTTTAATTCTCGCTAGACTTGCAGTATTAAACATATTGTATTATATGTCTCTGTTGCAGAGTATCAAGTACCCTTTTAGATTTTAAGCTCTGATTCCCATTTAACTTTTACTGTATAATATTATAGTATCTTCCTAGATTTTAAATTTATACATTCATATAAATTTGAAAATTTTATTCCCCATATTGATACTGTATAAAATTAAGGTGTACACTTAGATTTTAAATTTATTAGTTTAAATTAGTCTTAAAATTGTGTGAAGCGTCTCCATAACTTGAATGATATCCATGCAATACAAGAAAAAGAAGACTTCATATGCAAAACTCTGATGTCAATTTAAAGATGTAGACTACTAGTGTTCCTGTAAAAAAGCTTTGTGTTAAAAAGTTATAATAAGAAAACAAAAGAAATAACTTCAAATAAGGCATACATGAAAAAGTGTTGGTTTTCCTAGCTAGTTTAGTATATGTTATAGGTATAGACTATAGAACCACTAGTTCAGGTCCAGTTGGAAAGAAAATACAAGAAAGTAGTACTGGTACATATTTCAAACAAAATAGTTCCTACATATAGCTGTATCTTTTTCAATAGGTGAAATATTTGGGAAGTTTTGCTGTCAAATTAAATCTAGGGGACTTTGGATTATAGTAAAATCCTTGTTGAGGGTTTCTTTTAAATAATAAAGAAGCATATGAAATTTTAATAGGAGGGCACAATTGCCCTGTTCTTCAGATCAGAAGAATTTGTTTTTGTACTATCAAACTTCAGGGAAACAGTACACTCTAACATGCAATTAAAGGTATGTTGAATTTTTCAGCACAAGTCAGGATATAAAGGTAAAGTTTTGACATGAAATAACTGCCACTTTATTTGACCTTTAGACAAAGTAGCCATATATGCTTGAAATTACAGAATTAAACATTAAGAAATTGGGCTATGAATTAGTGGTTTTAAACTTAAAATGTGAATTTCTCTAATTGTAACACAATCGTTTTTCAGGTTGTATATGATACTATTTAACATTTCTGCACAGTGATAGTAGCTTTGTATATGTCATTTTTTGTTGATACACCTATACATAATGGTCAGTTATTATGTAAGTAATAGCTTGATAACAATCATACCAATGAAAATGCTTTCGTCTCACATGTTGTTGTTTTTTTTCTTTTTGACATTCTTGATATGGTTTCCATATTTATGTTTTCAATTGGAATACTCTTGTTTAGATATAAGAAGATGTGGTATGAGTGCTAATGAGACAACTCTCCATCCAAGTCACAATTTATAAAAGTAAACCATTATAGGTCAAAGTACGGTCTTCAACACGTAGCACACTAGGCTCACACCGCACAGCAAGCTCTTGTATTTATAGTTGTCTTAAATTGTACGTTTTCCTTACCAGGAAAGTATGCATGTCTTTATGTTGAGTTATACAGTATTTTGTATAAGCTATAAAAACCCAGTTTCTCCCAGTCTCTTTGCCAGATTTATATGTTAATACAAATAAGGAGGATGTGGTATCATTGCCAACTAGATACCTACCGGTATCCATTAGAGCTCAAATGAGTGGATGTAAGCTTGTATAGTCCCCATGCTATAAAGTAAGTCAGCTGTAAAAGGACTCAACATGAATAAGAGAGCATATGCTGAAATCTCTTGCTTCTTTACTCACCTTTGATAGTCCTTAATATAAAGCTTTACTACAATTATCACATAAACTTAACATGATCCAAGAAAATGAGGTCAAGGTAACAGAAATCAAACTAGAAATACATGTACACCTTACAATCATTCAATACACTAAATATAGATTACATATTGCTTAGCTTCAAAGAAACAGACTTAACCAAGAGAACGAAACGTTGACCAATGGTCCCTGAAAATGAGGTCAAGGTCAGATGAACCATGCCAGGCAGACATGTACATCTTACAATCCTTGCATTCAACTAATATAGTTGACCAATTGCTTATAGTGTAACAGACCAAAACACAAAAACTTTACTATTACCACTGAATCATGAAAATGAGGTCAAGGTCAAATATAACCTGGGAGACTTGACATGTACATCATGAAATATTTCCATACACCAAATATAGTTGACCTATTACATTTAGTATTAGAAAAAAAAAAAGACCAAAACTCAAAAACTTAACTTTGACAACTGACCCATGAAAATGAGGTCAAGATCAGATGACACCTGACAGTTGGACATGTACACCTAACAATCCTTCCATACATCAAATATACTAGACATATTGCTTATAGTATCTGAGATATGGATTTCACCACCAAAACTTAACCTTGTTCACTGATCCATATAATGAGGTCGAGGTCAAGTGAAAACTGTCAGACGAGCATGATGACCTTGCAAAGTATGCAAACATCAAATATACTGGACCATGAAAATGAGGTCAAGGACATTTGACATGTGACAGATGGAAACTTTGTAACATAAGGCATTTATATACAAAGAATGAAGCATGCAAGTCTTCCACCTTTTAAAATAGAAAGCTTTTAAGAAGTTAGTTAAGCCACCACCAAATCACTATCCCTGTACCGCCTAGGCTGGACAAAAATGTGAAAAAATTCTAACAAAGAATCTAACTGCCTAAATTATAACAAAACAATCTACAAAAAACAAAATGACAGAATCAACAACAACTGAATTTGGAACAGCTTAGAGAGTTTTGGCTGCTGGATCTCAATTATTGTCACTTGTGTCTATTTTGGGTAGCTCACCAAATTTTAACAAACCATTTTCTTCAGTAATTACCTGTAACATGGCAGCTGATTTACATACTTTCCATTGGTTGATATAGTTCTAGTATATATTCCAGTTGATACTAAATTTCAAATATATTTCCATTGTTACTTAAGTAATTGATTTTGCACCAAGAAACAATAATGGCTGCAAAGATGGACGGGGCTTGTCTACAATTATATTTACCATGCCCCTGCAAAATTATACGGATGGATACAAAAAATTAAGGTATTGACAGATATCCAAACGTAATGACAAGACAGATTTTCAGAAAAATTAATGTTTTTCAAATCTTTTAAACATATTCCATACCAAATCCCAAACAGAGATAATAACAAGCTATATTGTGCAGACAAACTTTTGGAGTCTGAACACACACTTATACTGATTATCTAATAGTTGCAGAAGTTGCACAAGAAGCAGGTATCCTTATCTAGCATTATAGATGATGGAAGACAAAAAGACCTTACATGATTACATCTTCTTATATCTACATTGTACTAATCACTATTTGAGACTCTTCAACAGAGTATTTGCAATACTTCAAACTATTGACATTATACAACCAGTTTTGTGGCATCAAACATTTTCCCCAGAATTTTAAAGGAATGTCTGTGATTTCCAGTAATGGTGGACAAATATCGATTCAGGTGTATGAAACAGATGAAAGTAAAAATAAACAAAGTATAAGCTTTTTATTGTCGACATATTTAAACTAAATGGCAAAAGGTACAGATAGACATCATACATATGATATAACAAATGCAAGAAAATCATTCATGTTTTATAACTGTTAGTGTGGTATTTCTGGGTAATTTAAAGATAAAGTGTACAAGTGTTAAATTGAAAAAAGGGAATTAACCCTGTGAAGCTACTTTCAGATATAAAGTTGTTCAAATACAAAGTGTGATTTATTGTAAAACCGTTAAATCATTTGAAGTTTTATTTTGTCCATTTATAAAATTTAAAAGCAGAACTGTACATCATTGTGTATATTTGTTGTATACAATTTGTAATGTTGTAAACATTATCATTTTCACAAAGTGTACAAATTATCAGCGTTTAATGAGCTGCTTATACAAGCACACAGTCTTTTGTTTCACATATTTCTGTCTATTTCCATGACAACATAATACAGTATTAAAAAAAAAACATAAGAACACAAGAGATTTATTATGGATAAGATTTGTGTATAAGACAAAAATAATGTTATTTTTTGGCTGATCATCACATAAACTTGGCCATAAATCTATTGATAACTCTTTGTTCAAAGAGCCTGAATTGCACACCTAGTCATCAATGATTATCTTTGCTTTTTGTTTTGGTCATATTAGCTTTGGTTTCAGAGATATAAGCCAAAATCTACATTTTACCCCTATGTTTTATTTTTAGTCATGGCTGCCAACTTGGTTGGTTGGCCGGGTCATCGGACACGTTTTTTAAACTAAATACCCCAATGATGATTGTGGCCAAATTTGGTTAAACTTGGCACAATAATTTTAGAGGAAAAGATTTTTGTAAAGGTTAACGGATGATGGACGCCGGACAACGACAGACGCCAAGTGATGAGAAAAGCTCACTTGGCCCATTGGGCCAGGTGAGCTAAAAATGTACAAATCATATATAAAAAGCAATAGAATAGTATGTGTGGTTTCAGTAAAAAAAAATTAAGGGTAGGTAGTTAGTGATTTTATTTCAATTTTAAGTTGTTTTTTTTTACATTATGTGTATAGGAGCAACATTCTGACTATATCTGTGCTGAACTAATGACAAAAAAATTTCTTATGGGTAGGCTTTATTGTTCAGACTAAAAAGTACGGAAGGTAGGGTAACTGTAACTACACATATATTTGTATTTGGCCTAACTCTTATAAAAGATAAATTTTTGTCATTCACTTATTTGAGGATTACATCTTTATCAAGCCTGCAGCGAGACCTAGTGATCCTACATTTTTCCAAATTTTTTGAGCCTGCCACAAACAGCAAAAGTAGGTGAGACACTTGGTTCCGCTGAACCCTTATGAATTTTCACTGTTTACAGTTTCTCTTAATCTAAAAAAATACTCAGACAATTGAAAACTAAGAAATTTATTATATAAACCCAACAACGGGTTGTCAAATTGGTCTTTAAATTTCATGAACAGATAAATTTTGAACAGCATTTTACCCAGTGATCTATTTTTAGCCATGGCTTCCATGTTTTTTGATGAAACAGAAAATAAAACACAAACTATATTCTAGATACTCAAGGATCATTTAACTTAAGTTTGGTTCTTGTTGGTTGAGGAAGATGGAAGCAAAGTAATCGCAAAAGCTTTTAGGTAATTGTGACCTCATTTTATAGCGTTAAAATACCAAAACCATCAGTTTGATAAAACCAAAACCATCAGTTTGATAAAACCAAAATATCAATGAAAATTAGATATGCAAAAAAGTGTTCAACAATTTGTAACTATCAGGGTTTTTTTGTAATAGAAACAACCTTACTTATTGACAACCATGTCAGTTTTTATATGGAATGAAACCATTATAGATGTTTTTTTTCAATAAAGATCTGACAATTATGAACATTATTATATCAAAATTTTTACACTTCCAAGTACATGTATAAATCAATAAAAAAATTATTCTTGCAATATTTTACAATGTTTTCTTTAATTTAAATACACATTAGTCTGCTTTCATTTACTGGTCCTGTTCCTTAAAGGTCTCCATAGCTGAAATACACCTCATCATAACAGGTAAAGGTAGTTTCAGGATTGTCCCACTGCAAAAGTAAATACATGAACTAAAAGCCAAAAATGAAATCATAAAATATTATTTCAAGATGCTTATCTGTCATTGAAGTTTGCCTTTTACACAAATGAAGTGTACATTTTCTTTTATACTGGATGCAATTAGTGACTACATATTTAATATAGACATTGTATTGTCTATTGCAATTGTGTGATATAAAAAAAATCAATGTACTGACTATGCCTATAATGGGTCCACTTTTGGAAATAAAATCTATCTTATCTTATTTTATCTTATAGACATCTACATATCAGGTTAAAAATTACAGCCAATTTCACTGAGTGTGTAGCTAAAGGTAATATCTTTGGTTATGGTCAGACAATCACATTTCCACCACAAGCTAGCTGAACCATGAAGTCATTATTAGGTAAGGTAAACTACCCTCCTTTAAGAATAGACTAGTCCAACAGATAACCAATCTATCTGTCTGTAGGAAAAAGCTACTCAGAAAGGAGGGTAGTATACCTTACCTTATAATGACTTCACAGTTCAGCTAGCAAGCAAGCTAACCGAAGATATTACCTTTAGCTACACTCAGTGAAATTGGCTATAATTTTTAACCTGATATGTAGATGTCTATAAGATAAAATAAGATAAGATAGATTTTAGAAAGAAAAAAATAAAATCTTTTTCAGTTTCAGTTGATGTTGCCTTGAGTCAGAATTTATAAATCAGTGACTGTGATTGTCAATAAAAATCAATTTTGTATTATTTTTGTACCTCTATCACAATGCTGATTTTCCCATTTGCATTTTTTTATTTATTATGGCAGTTAGCTTCCAACCGGCAAAGTTTTGACAAAGGAAACTTTTTATTCCTATTTGTATGTGCTAGAAATTGAATAAATGCGACAGTAATGGAACATATTCTGTCTGTTTTGGTTGTACAGAAAATAATGTATCAAGTTTTCATGTTTGCTTATCGTAAACTTACAATTGGAGAGATCATTAACTTTGTTGGGACAGAGCGTAAAAGTACATCTCTGTCCATCACTGTTGATATTGGAAAAGCGTGGCAACAGTCCACCTCCTTGCATGATTGTAAACATTTTAGGATGAACTTAGCTGGCAACATTTCATAAGGAATTGTTGCTACTATCCAATTGTAAAGACCCTGTAATATATAAATATATAATCAACATTATCATTTGTTAAAACATAACAAGAATGAACAGTAAGAAATACTAATTTAATATAATGAACAGTAAGAAATACTAATTTAATATAATGAACAGTAAGAAATACTAATTTAATATAATGAACAGTAAGAAATACTAATTTTATATAATGAACAGTAAGAAATACTAATTCAATATAAAAGAGAAGTGGTATGAGTGCAAATCAGCAAACTTAACACCCATACTTCAAAGTATACACAAAAAGGTTGTTGGTGCTCAACAAATTTGAATAGTGTATACACATCACAACTCATCATTGTCAAGGTAGTGACCAAGTATAAAAATCTTTCTCTTCGCAATTTATTAGGCAGGTATCATTAGATATCAATGTATCATGACAGTACTATTAAGTAATACTAGGTGTCTAAAGGCATTATCATTCTCTCTGTCACAGTTTGGAGTACATTGGAAAACAATATACACTGCATAACTTTGAGCTTAACTACTGTAAACTTAACTTATTAACCATACACATGTTAGACAGAAAATGAAGTTATTTTATAATTCAAATTTATGAAAGTTATTCTATTGGAAAGTCAGTTTATTCTGATTAACCTAAAATACTTGCCTTAATTGTGGTGGAAATGTCAAAATATCTTGAATAAATTGAATCCTTATTCAAGACCATAAATTCTTTTGAAATCAATCCAGGTTTCCCTGGGACAAAATCCTTTGCCATCTGGAAATAAAAATTAATTAAAAGGCTTTAAGCATAAATAAAATAATGCTGGGTATAGAATGAAACCACATTTTTTGTTTGTAATATTAAAGAAGAAGGAACCCCCCAAACATGTGTCATAGAGAGAGCAACCCCAACAAGTTGTGGACAACAATCCAAGTCCACAAATGGATCTACAACTAAGATGAAAATTATACACATAGTTTAGGCAAAGTAGAGTTAGACAAAGAAAACCAATTTTTGGAATATACATATGGACAGAAGTCAAACTTAGAGGGAACTGCTCACTGATAATACCCTCACCCACTTCGCTAAACAGGAAGTTGTTGAGTGATGGATGTGTAAATGCATCACATGGTACAACTGACTTTATACATAAAACTTGAAACCAAATTCCAGAAATCCTTGTGATGTAGTACTTGTGAAAAATATCAAGAAATTTTTCAACTTGGGCTACAAATGTGTAAAGTTATGTAAGTGTTCAGTAAACAGGAAATGGTTTAGTGATGAATCTGGAAAGCATCACATGGCATAACTGACTTATATATAGGATCTGAAAATGCATCACACATCATGGCAGAAACATATCAACTCTGAAACCAAATTTCAGAAATCCTTGTAATATAGTTCCTGAGAAAGATGCGACAAAAAATATTCATGGTACGTACAGACGGATGGACAGATGGATGGACTGACAGTGAGACAGAGAGAAGTAATGAAGTATAACCCCACTTTGACAAAAATTATTCATGGGTGGATAGATGGACTGACAGAGGTAAAGCAGTATACTCCCACTTTTTTAAAGTGTGGGTGGGCACTTTTTGAGGAAGCACATGTCATCATAAATGTTACATTTCATTTTGAAAAGAAGGTTAATTTAAGAATGACATACAATTGCTGTTAACCAATCAAACTACTGGATTTTTGTGAAACATAATCTAATGTATTTATTCAGTCATGAACTTATGACAGTAATTAAAGAATATAAGCTAAATGTAAATTTAAGTATACTTGCATCATGTCTCAATTTCTTCTTCTCTTCCAAGGTCAGCAGGTTACAACCTGTAAAAGATTATAGTTGTGTTATCCAAACTAAACGGACTTCAAAGAAGTATTTTTCTATTGTGTTTTTTTTTATGCCATTTGTTTCCAAAATTATAAATTTAAATATAAAATAATGACATCTTCTTTCACTAAAAAAATTGTTAACATATTTTGTTGTGTCACTTATTGTATGAATATGATATTTTACTTAATATTTTTGAAACTGTTTTTTTGAAAGACAAGCAGGTAACCATTAAAGTTTTGTATTTAATTGAAAATTGAACTTAAGGATGTTCGCTTGTCATCTTTAGGAATTTTTGTCAAATTTTCGGAATCATCTGATTATATCCATTTGAATGCCTTAAAAAATTTTGAGCATTGACCCCCATTTTCTTTTAAAATAAATCTTTTACATGTATAATTATAAGCCATCTATAAAAGTCTTATAAAATCTTTTGATATTTTTTAATAGGTTTTGAGAACTTAAAACTTGTCAATGATAAAGCTATGAAAAATCAAGAGAGAACATTTTCCCGCCAAATTTTCAATGGCTATTATTTCAGAACAAGCACATTGACCTATATTTATTTTTGGCTCTTTTGGTTCCTTTATTAATACCCTATCAATATATACTAGTGTTATGAAAAGCTTGATATTTTGAAACTGAGAAGCAAACATCCTTCAACAAGGTGAACCAACACCTGAAGTGGTAATTGTGTGGTTGGGTAAAAGTGGGTGGATACCAAAAGGTATCCACAGTTGTCTTTCACAAGATAAGTAAAATGAAACGATAATAAAGACAACAACACACATCAATTACCACATGGTAAAAGCATGGCTTCTTCAGGACAATATTACATATGAAATTAAACAGTGAAGTTCAAATTTGGCGGTTTATGTGTTGAATTGAAAATTGTAAGAAATCATTAAAAAAACAATAATGTCTCCGTAGTACACAGATGCCCCACTCACACTATCATTTTCTATGTTCAGTGGACTATGAAATTGTGTCAAAACTCTAATTTGGCATTGCAATTTGAATGATCATATCAAAAGGAACATGCATCATAAATTTCAAGTTGATGGAACTTCAACTTCATCAAAAACTGCCTTGACCAAGAACGTTATCCTGAAGTGGGACAGACAGACAATGAACGGACAGACCATACACATAATGCCCAGAAGTCATGCATAAAAATACACAGTTTATTAATTTATTTTATATTAATTCTATAATAGCAAGTGCAAAATTTCAACAATAAGGAAAATTTGTCTGTAAAGTTTTAGAGATCAGGGTTGAAAACTGTGTAGGAGTTGAATTCATGTTGGTGCAACCAGCCCCCCCCCCCCCCCCCAATCAACATATTGTAGACAGTTTTTGACTTTGTCAACCAACCCAGCCAAAAAGTGTTGCTGTCACATTTTTTTTCCACCAAAAATCAATACCGGATTGTCTTTTAAATGTTAATTTGCTGCTCATATTTACTATACCTGTTTCAACCCTTTTCATCTTTTTCACAATGTTCATTGTTGGCAACTATTAAAACAATAAAAATGCAAATATCACACAGTTTTAATATCAAATTATTAAATAATGAAAAAAAATTAACTGTATCCATTGATGAAATTTGAAGAAGGAAATTTGAAGAATTATATAACATACACTTATTGACTGGCTATGAGTTCGAGGGCAATGGCAAGTTTATCATTCCCCAAGACATTAACTTTTTCCCAACTTAATGGAAATAAATTTACTGCTGTCTGAAGAGCCATTTAATAAGTGTTTTATTATACAAAAAACCCATGCAGACATCTGAATGATTGTAGTGTATGACATCACTCTTGTTCAATAAAATATAAGTTATATTTGGTCAACCTTTTTTGGTAGAGTGGTACTCTGGTAATGTGTTTCTATGTGGTACTCTGGTATTCTTTATACACACAGTTAAGGTTGGTTCTTCTGGTAAGGTAATGACTCGGATATAAAACGGTAGATTGGAGTAAAGGTTTTTGTATGGTAATTCTCAATGTTTGTAAGAATAACAGACTCGTTAAATAAAAATAATCTTGTATTAACTTTAAGATGCATTAAATATCAACAATACATATAAATATTAAATATTTTAACAGTATTCTAGTGTAACAAATAAATACTTTATAAACCTTAGATTATCATGAATAAAAGAAAATGGATAGAGGAAAAATATACCAAGAAAGTTAACTTATTGTAGTTTGGTAAGTGGCAAATGGTAAATCAAATTCAATGTCAAAAGATAAAGTTTCTCTCAGGAAGTATTCCCAAAATGCTTTTTGTAAAGGAACTAACAAACCCACATGGTATCTGTACGTATATCTAAATCGCTTGGTATTAGTGAGTGTTACTTGACCAGGGTAAAGAGTTGCTTAAGACTTATCTGTATTCTCCGCCGTATTTATACTTAGGTAATCCAATTTACGGATTTGGTTTACCATTTACCATTTAGGAAAATTAGTTACTAAAACCGGAACTGACGTCATTGTACGTCATGGAATAAACATTTCAGAATTGTTCCAAATGTAAAAACATAGGACAGAATAATAAAAAGTTTTAGAGTAAACAATGATTTAACATAGTTATACAAGAAATATATAATAAGAAAGGTCAATTATCAGGACAATTTAAACACACAATTTTAGAGGAAACAAGTTCCATTTCAGGGAAGAGACATACCGTTACACTATATATCAGAAATAATCTATGTTAAACCAGCTTAGCCATTATTAGAAGGGTTTTTGGCCCCTATTTGGCATTTAGTTTCTAAATGGTTGAAATCATAACCCCCACAATCTACCCCAACCTACTGTGTGTGGTACAGAACCTTTTGATATAATTTCAGAGAGATCCATTGACTAATACTTAATTGTCCAGAAACCAGAAAAAAAACTTGTTTTTCCCCATTTTGCCCCTAATTCCTGAACTTTAGGGCCATAACCCCAAATTTTCACTTTGTGGTTTGGAACTTTGTGGTACAATTTGACAGAGATCCATACACTTACACACAAGTTACTGGCGGGAAACAAGAAAAACGTTAATTCAAAACAGTTGGGACCATAACCCTTATAGTTAAATTTCATATACATCTATTCACTTATACGTAAGTGATTTCAGACAATTAATCTCAGATTTAATGACAATGAATATCTTATTAAACATATGAATACAAACATGCATAGGTAAAAGATTTATGATTTTAGTACACTAAAGAAAATCCACTGATTTAAAATGTCAATAAAAAAGCAAATCAGAGGCTTTTTAATTGTTCTACATATTATAGGCTTGTGATGAATCTATAAAATAGCATGCATATTACTTATATTACTGATATCTTACCGAAGCTTCACTAGTGTCCCCTTTGCTGTCACTTATATCTATTCTCAAGGAATCCTCCTGAAAGAGATAATCCCTCTTGAACTATAAAAAACTATGCACTTGACAATTTAAAAATGATAAGGTTTTATATTTTGTTATTATTTATTTACTACATGACAAAATTGATGAAATGAATGCATTAAAATCTATTACAAGAATAACAATCTGTCATAATAAAATGTAAAATTGTTTTTGGTATTCAAAATTTCAGATATAGTTTTATATATATTACTGTACCCCTTATGAAATAAAGGATAGAGATAACATAAATGGAAATGGAATTTGTCAAACAGTTCGAAACTTTTAATTCTTCCATATTTTTTAAAAGTTAGAAAACATGATAAACAAATTGTGTAAAATTGTATTTAAAGGGCAATAACTCCTTTAGGGGTCAATTGACAATTTTGGCCACGTAACATTATTAATCAATCTTACTTTGATGAAAATTTTTGTTGTTTGCTTATCTGTAATAATATTCAAGTTAATAACCCAAAACTTAAATTTCCTTAAAATTACCAATTTACTGGCAGCAACCCAACAATGGGTTGTTAGATTCATCTAAAAATTCCAGGGCTGATAGAACTTAACCTCCTGAACATGTTTACCCGATTTCAGATTTGCTCTTCATGCTTTAGTTTTTGAGATATAAGCCAATAACGGCATTTTACCCCCGATGTTCTATTGTTAGCCATGTCGGCCATGTTTTTTTACGAAACAGAAAATAAAACACATACTATATTCTAGATTCCATAAGGATCATTCAGCGGAACTTTGGTTGGAATTGGTATAGCTGTAGTTTCAGAGGAGAAGTTGATTGAAATAGTTTACACCAAATTGAAGACGACATCGGACACCCAGTGATGGCTAAAGCTCACATTTCATTCAGAACACTGAGCTTATAAGAGGCTGGCAGAAAAAAAAAGAATATTTTTTTTTGTGTCATGCCATTTACATGATGTTTAACAACATGCACCTAAACATACCTGAATATATGGAGAATCCTCAAATTTTCTGTCAGGCCTTTTACCAGTACTCATTTTCTCCCCTCCAAAGCCTACTTGATCAGCTATTTTAGGAACTGGTTTCCTGTCCTGAGGAGAACCATGACCACTCATTTGTGATGGAATCTGTAAAGATTAAAATTATCCTTTATTTCTATTACTGCTAGTCACACCTGTATATAAACATTGATATTAAATTTGTATAGTTCGCACAGGTACATTGTCCTCAATTGTATCCTTTCTCATCATGAAATATCAGGAAAAAAAACCTTTTTATTATTATTAGGAAATGTCTGATGAAACTCCAGTAATTTCAAATCCTGTGTGGTTGTTTGCGGTATTTTCATGGAAAAACCTGTTTTTCTATCTTCATGTAGAAGTTAAAACTGCTTGAAATAATTCTAGAACACTTCACTTCACTTCATTAGTGTTAAAATAAATTAAAATCACATAAAGACAATTTAGAAACTTGTATATGTTAATGAGCAAACTGGAAGTTTGAATAACCACGTATGAAAAAATAAATACAGTAATAGCGTACGGAAAATATATACTAAATAGATACCACTAGAATACAACTTTGAAAGTAAACTAGAGGCTCCAAGGAGCCTGTGTCACTCACATGATAATTTTATTTACAATTGATGTTTAAGAGATTAAAGTCAAAAACTGCATTTTCCCATATGTTATAATTTTAGCCATGTTGGTTTGCAGGCATGGTCAGGCTGTTTATAGTTTATCTATATCTATAATAATATTCAAGATAATAACCAAAAACTGCAACATTTACTTAAAATTACCAATTCAGGGGCAGCAACCCAACAAGGGGTTGTCTGATTTGTCTGAATATTTCAGGGCATATAGATCATGACCTGTTGAACAATATTAACCCATGTCAGATTTGCCCTTTAATAACGCCTTGGTTTCAGAGATATAAACCGAAATCTACATTTTACCACTATTTTCTATTTTTAGCCATTGTGGCAATCTTATAATTAGTTGGTTGGCCAGGTCATTGGATACATTTATTGAACTAAATTTCACAATGATGATTGTGGCCAAGTTTGGTTAAATTTGGCCCAGTAGTTTCAGAAAAAAGAAAAATAGTGCCCACTACAATATCAATACCAAACATGGCAGAAAGTGAACAAACCACCTTTTACCCCCCCCCCCCCCCCCCCCCCCCCCCCCCCCCCTCTTTTTCTTGCTTATCCCACTCTATAGTCCGCCCTCCTGTCTGCATTATGCCCATATGTTCTTTTTTAAGCTACAGTGGTCATATATGTACCCAAGGAATGGTCAATGCAAAGTTGGATTGAATTTTTTAGCTCAATACTTTCAGATGAGAAGATTTTTGTAAAACTGAACAGAAAATGAGTGATGAGGAACGCACACTTTTGGGTCATGGGAAGAACATCTCAGATACTGTTTATTAATTCAAGTTGTTAGCAAGAAATGCTCATTTTAAGACATAAACATACTATCAATTAGGAATTACATTTGTTTTCTTTTGCTAAAAGTCATATACTGATATCAAATTATTTTATACCTTGGCTGTCTGTACATTACTTATAGCTGTGTTAATATCCCCAGACTGCTTTGGCTGCAGAGTTGTTCTTTTGTACTGATCTCTTTTTGTTTCTATCATCTGCTCTGTCTCTATTTCTAAAACACAGACACCATAATTGTAAGTCTCCTAATTTGCAAGAATTATTGCAGTCACTAAATTTTGAAGGTTTTTTAGAATAATTTTTGAAAAAAACAGGTTATACAAAATCATTTTGACTAAGGATTAACTCGTAATATGAATAAAGTTTTACCATTTAAAGTGATTTCTGATGCATTGAACTGTATGTTTTATCTTATTAATCTTATAAACACCGAAATTAGGAATGTTATAAAAAAATTTTAATATGACTTCAACAATATTCAGATGAATATAGACAAACCCTGAAAAAACTAGATATCATTGAGATGGGAGCCATCTCTGTGGGCCCCGCTGTGAATAATGTGTGGTAAAAAATTTGTATCTTTATCATTGGACATGGGGTTGTCAAATGAAACCAAAGTTTTTGACCTTGACCTTTGACCTAGGAAGTTGTACATAAATTATGACACACCCTCTGGTGTTTGTTTATATACATATCAAGTATAAACTTTGAACTCATAACGGTTCTCAAGATATAGAGCGGACACGATCTTTACCATAGGACATGGGGTTGTCAACTAAAACCAAAGTTTTTGACCTTGACCTTTGACCTAGGAAGTTGAACATACATTATGACACACCCTCTGGTGTTGGTTAATATACATGTCAAGTATAAACTTTGAAATCATAACACTTCTCTAGATATAGAGCGGACACGAATTGTTACAGACGGATGGATGGACGGACAGACAGACGGACAGACTGATCACTATAGGGCGGCCGCCAATCGGCAGGGCCCTAATAATGAGACTGTATGTCAACTGTGTTTTGAAACCATTGACCCATTTACGAGATCTAGAATAAATACCATGTGATGGTGATGTTGGTTCATTGTTCAATTCTAGGGTTTGTTGTGAAGAAGGTGATGTACTTGGCTGTTCACTGTGTGATTTTGTAGTAGGCTTGACAGTTGGTTGTATTTCACTTTGCTTTGTTGCCCCTTCTGTTAAATAAACAATTGAAATATACATGTCATCAATGTTAGTAAATAAACCTACTGCAATCTTTATTCCAAGATTTATCTCAAGAACTCTTCCTTTTTATCTGGTTTAAACAAAAAAAATTTACAAAACATATGAAAAGCAGGCTTCTCATATAAAAATTATAATTTTTTTGTTTGAAAGACTGTCCAGAATTTATCCCTTTATGTAAAATTTTTTTATTTGTAAAAGTTTTAACAAAGATAACCATCAACAAAGGGGAATACATCTGGAATGACTGGCCTAACACTTTTTAACAATTAGATCATCAGAATAATCAATATTAAAAATTTTCAGCTGAAATGAAATTGTGATGTGTGTATAAAAAATCTGATTGAACTTCTTTCTTTCTTTTGGTATGATGTTTGGGGACATTCCAACATTGATAACTTGTGAATCCATGTCCTGTGAGACTGTTAGAAAACTTTATAAAATATTGTAGGACTGTAACAAAATTCTTATTACGGTTTCATTTAACGTAACATTGATCTAGTGTGGTTATACCTGGTCTTTGTTTCTTTGGCTCATCAACAGGTATTCTAGGTGGTATATCACTTTCATCAACTAGCTTTCCTTGATGTGTCTGCTGTAGTAAATCTTGTATTGTCTGTAAATATCAGGGAAAAACATATTGTAAAAAACCAAAATAAACATGAAATGTAAAGGAATATTACTTGCCTGTATGTAGTTAACTGCCAAAACCATATCAAAATCAATTTGCCACTTGGCTATATGAGTACAATGTAAAAGTGTTTGTCAAATCATATGAAACTTCAAATTAAAAAGAAATATGCATTATCTATACTATTAAATGAGAAGACCTCATTTTGTGTGTCGCTTCTCTTTCTTCCACAATAAATTAATCATCATGCCTCTGTGTCCTTTAGGTAGAATGCATAGTCGCATGTATCATCCTTGCTTATGATTATTCAGTTTGGGTTATTTTGGGAGGAAAACGAAAAAAAAGGCGTCCGGATATTGTTTCCTTCATCAGACTGACCTTTGACATGTTTGAGAAAAGGACTTCCTTTTAGGACTTTTTAAAATTACATAAATTTTTTTACAAGTACTTGGGGACAGATGAATAATTTTTCACGTTTTTCTGTATACTATGATCATACATATACATGTACTACAAATAAAGTGCGTTTGCTAATATATTATCAATTCCAATAGTTTACTATCTATGGCGGTCACTGATATATTATATAGAGAGTCTCTATATAATCATAGATAAGCTATTATATATGTATATGATAAAATATATCACTGACCGTTTCATGATAGTATTTATAGTATATGTATGTTCATAGTATACAGAAAAAACAGAAAACCAAAAAAAAAAAATCGATCCTTGGAAAAAAGGGGGAGGGCAAAAAAAAAATTGTTCTGTCCCCAAGTACCTATGACTTTTGATACCTTTCCTGAAATTGACCAGTTATAAATTATTTTATAAAAAATTATCCTGCAAAAATTTACATATGCTCTAAAATATAAATGCCCGCGATTTTGCGGGTGTGTTCTAGTGTTTTTTATTACTAAATGGCTAGCAATTATTATAAAACTTATGTACATATACCTTTTTCTCAAGAAAATTCTCTAATTTGTCAAAATTTAGAAGGTTTACTTTGTTTAATTGCTTGCTTCCAGCAAACTATTCTAAGACATGTTTTCCGTATGTAGTTACCTCAGCAGGACTTTATGTAAAAAATCCTGTGATCGCAATACACAAGTGTGAATGGAAAATGAAACGTAAACATCGCTCCGTCATCAAGATAAACCATATCTTATTGTACCTGTTATACACGTGCTTACCTGAATATCCGTGCTTCTTTGTTGATTGTTTACAAATAGGTGTCAATCGTTAAACTTCGGCTTCAAAACACGACCATTAATTAGCTGACATATTTTTACAACAACACTTATACATTGAAATATTTTTGACGATTTTACGAAATGTATGCGAAAAAAATGATAAAATCATGCACAGAAGACAAGTTTATGATATATGTATGCATTGGTTCAAGAATTGGATTTTTTTTACCGGTCACTCGTTTCATATGACTTTAAACCAGAAGTTGTTAAGTGATGAATTTGAACCTGTAGCACACAGATTAACTCGCTCATATGAACCTTGATTCCCAGATTGGAGAAAGCCTTGATAGTTAGTTCCTGCGAAAAATGTGATGACATTTAATATGACTGATGAACAATGCGATGACATTTAATATGACTGATGAACAAAAATGCAGCAGACAGATAGATAGGGGTATAACAGTATTTCAATACCTGTGTAATGGTTTTTTCTTTATATTTAGTTTTTTCTACAAAAATAACCCAAAATAAGAAGCAATACCAGTTCAGTAAATGTCAATATATTTCATAAGACAATTCATGAAGATAAGAAGAAGGTCTTGTCAGTCATTTCATCTAAAAATACATAATGTACCTTAAGGGCTCTACCATATCTTTTCTGTTTAGAGGTATCACCTGCTGACTTAGCACTCTGAACTCCTGCCTCATACATTGACAATCTTTCAACCAAAATTAAAACTTTATCTTCTTTGCCTCCACCTGCCTGACTAGTGAGTTGGAGTGTAGTATCTTCATCTGACGATAAACCTTCATATTCAGCCGGGTAAATTATAAGAGATATAACAAGAATGGGTCCATAGTACGATGCCCCTCTTGCATCATCATTTTCTATGTTCAGTCGACCGTGAAAATTGGTTCAAAACTCTAATTTTGCATTAAAATGTGTGCAAAGTTTCAAGATGATTGGACTTAAACTTCATCAAAAACTACCTTGACCAAAAACTTTAACCTGAAGCAGGACATACAGATGAATGGATAGACCCACAGACCAAAAAAGTAATGCCCCTAGTAGTATAGTCCCTGGACTCACCTAGGGGCATTATGTATTTTGTTCCCTTTCAAAGATTGAGTAATATTCTGGTGTAAAATTTTAGTCAACCTATCAGAAAACAAGAAGTTTAAATTTAATAAAATGCTCCGCTGGGGCGCAGCTTGATACGACCGCAGAGGTCGAAACCCTAAACAGTTGGGGCAAGTATGGACACAACATTCAAGCTTGATACAGCACTGAATTTGGATTGTAATTAAATATTTGACACAGCATAGGTTTCTGACACAGAATGAAAGTGGTCTAAGAACTTAAATTTTTTTAATTTACCTATTCAAACCATATCATTATTATTTGCTTTTATATATAAATCAGAAATAACCAATTTAAAATGGAAAATTTTAAAGAAAAAAAATGAAAAAAAAATCACCCCCCCCAATTTTTTGAACCCTCTTATGATTCGTCACCCCCAAACTCAATCCCAGCTTTCCCTTAGTGGTATGGTACCTTGCAGTACAATTTCAGAGAGATCCATTCACTTGAACACAAGTTATTGTCTGGAAACTAGAAAAATGCTTGTTTTTTGGCCCCTTTCTAGCCCCAAATTCCTAAGCGTTTAGGGCAATTACCCCCAAACTTAAACCCAGCTTTCCCTTTGTGATATGGAACCTTACAGTACAATTTCATATAGATCCATACACTTACACACAAGTTATTGTCCTGAAACTAGAAAAAATGCTTGTTTTTTTTGCCCTTTTATGGACCCTAATTACTAAAATTTTGAAGGAATTACCCCCAAAATCAATCCCAGCCTTTCCTTTGTGGTATGGTACCTTGCAGTACAATTTCAGAGAGATCCATACACTTGAACACAAGTTATTGTCTGGAAACTAGAAAAATGCTTATTTTTGGCCCCTTTTTGGCCCCAAATTCCTAAACGTTTAGGGCAAATACCCCCAAACTCAATTCCAGCTTTCCCTTTGTGATATGGAACCTTGTAGTACAATTTCATAAAGATCCATACACTTCACACAAGTTATTGTCATGAAACTAGAAAAATGATTGTTTTTTGCCCCTTTTTGGCCCCTAATTCCTAAAATTTTGAGGCAATTACCCCCAAAATCAATCCCAGCATTCCCTTTGTGATATGGAACCTTGTGATACAATGTTAGAGAGATTCATACACTTACACACAAGTTATTGTCATGAAACTAGAAAAATGCTTGTTTTTTGCCCCTTTTTGGCCCCTTATTCCTAAAATTTTGAGGCAATTACCCCCAAAATCAATCCCAGCATTCCCTTTGTGATATAGAACCTTGTGGTACAATGTCAGAGGGATCCATACACTTACACACAAGTTATTGTCTGGAAGTTACAAAAATGCTTATTTTTTTACCCCTTTTTGGCCCCTAATTCCTTAACTGTTGGTACCATAACCCCCAAAATCAATCCCCACCTTCTTTTGTGGTATTGAACCTTATGGTAAAATTTCATTGAGATCTATTCACTTAAACTAAAGTTAGAGTGCGAAAACTAATGTGTCTTCGGACGACGACGACGACGACAACGCCAACGTAATACCAATATTCGACCACAAAAATTTGTTTGCGGTCGTATAAAAAATACAAGTACTTTTATTTCAACCTTTGCTAAATCAAGACCAAATATTTAATTGTTTCCTCCCGAAAATGCTAAGAAAATAAGAACTCGCATTCTGATATCTGACAGATATAAATGTGTGCAGTTTTTGTACAACTCGCAATAATTAATCTCGCATTTTTGTCCATTCTACAAAAATCGCAATAATAAATGCACGCAATAATTTCTGAATTTACAGTAGTGGTTATATGAGCAATATGCATGTCTCTTATAATCCTACAATAAGAGTGCACACGCTGAAATGTCCTGCTTTCTCAACTAACCATTGATATTATGTTAATAGTTCTAAATAAACTGTACTACAACTATCACATAAACTTAACATAATCAAATAAAATGAGGTCAAAGGTCAGATAAAACTGGAAAACATGTACACCTTACAATCATTCCTTACACCAAATATTCTTTAAATTACATATAGTTGTCCTTTTGCATATCTAAGATTAAACTTAACAATGAAAACTTAACATTAATCAATGAACCATGAAAATGAGGTCAAGGTCAGATGAATCCTGCCAGACAGACATGTATACCTTACAACCATTCCAAATATAGTTGACCTATTGCTAAAAGTATATGAAACAAAAATGTGTCCATAGTACACGGATGCCCCACTTGCATTATCATTTTCAATGTTCAGTGGACTGTGGAAATGGGGAAAAAACTATTATTTGGCATTAAAATTAGAAAGATCATATCATAGTGAACATTTGTACTAAGTTTTAAGTTGATTGGACTTCAACTTCATCAAAAACTGCCTTGACCAAAAACTTTAACCTGAAGCGGGACAGACGGACGAATGGACGCGCAGACCAGAAAACATAATGCCCCTCTACTATTGTAGGTGGGGCATAAAAAAAAAAACTTAACACCGAGCAATGAATGAACTGTAAAAATCAGGTCAAGGTCAAATAAAATATGCCTGACTGACATGTACATCATAAAATATTTTCATACACCAAATATAGTAGACCTATTGCAAACAGTATTTGAAAAATAAACAAAAACACGAACAACTTAACTAATAAATTGCTTCGCCAGTGCAGCTGGATACAGCTGCAGAGGTCCAACCCTGAACAGTTGGGTCAAAAATGGACACAATATTCAGGCTTGATACAGGTCTTAATTTGGATTGTAATTAAATATTTGACACATAATAGGTTTCTAACACAGAATAACTGTAGTCAAAGAACTTAGAATTGGTTATATGATTTGAATTTATATTCAATTTTTTGCTTTTGTGCAATACACTGAAGGCACAAAAGCAAAAAATTGCATATAAATTCAAATCATATAACCAATTCTAAGTGTGAATTGACCCCCTCCCCCCCCCCCCCCCCCCCCCCCAAAAAAAAGTTAATAAAAATTAACCCATTTTTTTTTTTGCTTTTGTGCAATACACTATGCTGTTGTGTATTGACCCCCCTTCCCCCACTCCAAAAAAATCCCTCCTTTTTTATATGTGAAAGTAAATAAAAGAAGAAATTTTGTTTAATTTCTGAAATCTGAAATGAGAAAAAATTGCCACCCACAATTTCTTTTTTAACCCCCCCCCCCCCTTTTAAAAAAAAAAATTCTTTCCCTCAAGATATGGTCATAATCTCAATTCAAATTACCAATGGAGTTTGCAACCATAATTACCCATTTAAATACATCATAAAAGTCTTAAATAGATAATTTAAAAGCAGTGTAAGGGAGGTAATCCAACATTGTACAACATTGTACAATTTTGTTTTTGGATTACCTCCCTTACACTGCTTTAAATTGTCCATTAACCAGGAAAACCCTTGTTTTCCCCCTTTTTTGGCCCCTAATTCCTAAACAGTTTGAACCATAACCCCCAAAAGCCAATCCTAACCATCCCTTTGTGGTATGGAAACTTGTGGTACAATTTCAGAGAGATTACTACACTTAAACACAAGTTATTGTCTGGAAGTTACAAAAATACTTATTTTTGACCCCTAATTCCTTAACTGTTGGTACCATAACCCCCAAAATCAATTCAAACCTTCCTTTTGTGGTATTGAACCTTATGGTAAAATTTCATAGAGATCCATTCACTTAAACTAAAGTTATTGTGCGAAAAACCGATGTGTCTTCGGACGACAACAACAACAACGACGACACCAACGTCATACCAATATACGACCGCAAAATTTTTTTGCAGTAGTATAAAAACCATTGAACAATGAAAATGAGGTCAAGGTCAGGTGAAACTTGTCAGTTGGGCATTTACACCTTAAGAAGTTAGCTAATGCTGACGCAGGATCACTATCCATATGTCAAGCTTTCTGCGACAAAAGTTGCGTGCTCCACAAAACCATAAAGGGGGCAACAATTCATTCTAATGTTGTAAGTTGGCTTTTTACACTTTTTCAAACCTATATAGCTGTTGTTAACTGAATGTTTTGTTTTTAATGTTGGACAAAATTGCTCTTTCTAAAATTTAATTTTGAGCTTTCAAGGGGGAAATCCCCAAAAAATGGTAACAGTTTGAAAGTGTGAAAAAATAAATAAAAGTAAAGCCAATGTTTAATTGAGAAAAACACAGCAATTACTACATGTAAAAATTATTTAAAAAGTTCTTGTGTGAAATAAGAAAGTAAAATAATCCATATGGTATAATGGGAAAATATAGGTAGAATCTCCAAAGAGACACTTATTTACCTGAAATGCAACTGTTTTGATGGCTCTGTCTTCTTTTCTTATTTTCATCTCAATAGATTTATCCTACAATAATAACAGTGAACTCATCATGCTCATCAATCATAGGGTTTGTTAGAAATTACACAGAAATAACTTTAAATGCTGTTTGCCAATAAATCAAGAAGTCTACCTACTGAGCATCAAATATTTCTCTATATTTTAATCATACAATTAATCAGTATTTCAATAACTATATAATCTGTCTATAAACCAAACTTTTGATATGATTTGTGCTTCAGGGCATATCCAACAGTATATTTCAAATGTTGAGAATTTCTTCACAATTACATTCAAAGCAAACAGAACTAGATATCATTTAGATGGGAACAATCTCTGTGGGCTACGCTGTGAAAGTTTTTGACTTTGAGGAAGTTGTACATATATTATGAGACATCCTCTGGTTAATATACACGAGCTTGAGTGCCTGTAGAAAACCACGACCTTTGATTGGAAAACTAAGAAAAAAATACCACCATATACATGTAGTACCTGGACAGCAGTAGTTGAAGTTGTCCTTGATTCTGTTACCCTGGTAACATGATCTTTATCTTTTTTGACACATGATCTTTCCTAAAATTATGATAAGTGAATTAAGTTACAGTCATGTGAATCTGATGATAAAAAAAACACAAAATTTAATCAACATTTTGACACAGAAAAAATTGACTTGGTTATATAGATAACCAAGAACACAACAGGCAAAGTAAGCAGGTGTATGCAAGGTTATGCTTTTTGTTCCAAAAAATCAGCTGGTATGAACATTTGAAACATAATTGAAGACAGTTTTTAATGTTTACTTTTACAAAATAAAATTGATTCGATAAATTTCAACAGAAGAACAATGATTTTAAAGCTACAAGCAGACTGTTGACACAAAAAAATGATAAAATCCTCGCTTAGTGAATTCTTACACATATACATTGTTAGCCTTTTTATTTTTACATTTCTTTATCAAGTAGGTAAAAGTCTAGTTTAATATAAATTATATATAAAAATAGTACACAATGTTGATTGTTCTATCCCTATCATTTTCACAAATTACCTATCATATCTTTTTTAAACTCACTGAAAAATGGTAATGACCATTAAAGGAAACGTTGTTAATAAATATAATATTACATATGGAATTTAAGAAAACCAAATGAAGTGTATTTAAGTATAATATCTTCTATGATTTGTTAAGAGAGGTTTTATGTTATAATTTGGTAAAACAAACAGTCAATTCTAATTTGTCTCTTTGCCCTGAAAATGTTAAGTTAACAAACAAATGCATTTACCAAACAGAAGAAAATATTTTTTTGAAGGAAGTTAAGGAAATTCCAGTGAATAGTAAAAAAAAGAACAGATGTAAATTATTTTGGCACATAAAGGCTATAATTAAATATATTATTAACCATTAAAATTGATAACTGGAATATCTGAATATCCTTTAATTAAAAGAAACAAAACAAAACAAAAACAAAAACAAAACAAATTTATTCTTAGTAAGAGAAAAGCACCTGTCCTGCCTGTGACTGATTACATGTAACTAACTTCTTAAGTTGTGAGCGTTCTGGGAGAGAAAAATAAAATCAAATGAATTCTAAAATCCCACTAATCACAAGAACATATAAAGTGATGTAAAGTAATATGCTTCAAGTAATAACTTCAAGTTACAACAACTGATTTAAAAAAAAGCAAAATAATACAAAAAGTTGAATTAAAGGTATCTAAAATATAAATTTTATGTTCCATATATGGACTGAACTTCTGATTCCTGCAACAGGTCATCATGGTCATAAACTTTTTAATTTTTTTAATCAAATCTGGAATTGCTCATATTCTTACACAAGTGACAGTGAACACTCAGTTACTTGTTATATTGTATCTTTTATAATTGTTTTGCCAACCATGAAAAGGGTGAAAAACACAAAGACTTCATTAGTACATAACGCTTCAACATGTTCATATGACTAAACGTTAATTTTTGACTTTTGAATTTAAATGTATAAATAACCATGCTAAAAATTATAGAATGTAGCAATCTCTCTCCATCTGTCGTAGTATCCAAGATAATGACACAAAGCAATACAGAGCTGTGCAAATAGCAAATTATATTTTGCTTAAATAAAGTCCCACAACTCGACATCAATTAGTAAATGACACTATTGAAATTCATCTGAATTGAAATGTAGCTTTTTGCTATTAATCTGAGTGTTGCAACTAAATTTCAATAAAATTAATAAAAACAAATTAAAACTATGGTTCTACATTTAACAAAATGATGAAATTTTAATGATTTAAGCATGGCAATTGACATAAAATCATCAAAATGAAAAGGAAGCTTTCTTTAATCAATCTGACATGTGTGTTACAATTTCATAAAAGATCAATTCAAATTGATTGATGATGGTTATGGTACACACATTTATGATAATTCTCAACTAATAGTGAACTGAACCTCGAGAATGTCAAAATTTGAAGTTATCAAACAAAGGGACCTTTCTGAGGTCAATTATATATTATAAATTTAAAGAATTACATGTTCCTTTGAATTGGTTCATCAAATTTTATTAATGAAGGACACAATGTGAGTTAAATTCAAATCCTGTGTCTACGCTTTGCTTACAAGGATCTGACTACACTCCATTCTACTTTATGATCCAGTTATTATTACATTTGCAAAAGAAACTTAAGCCTTCAAAATTTGAAGGTGTGTATCAACATGATCAATGTAACAAAAACATGAGGATCCATGAAAGTCTTTTGAACAGATATCATTATGCAAAGTTTTCAAATCCTTGTAAGCAACACTTTGACACACAGGTATATAAAAATTTTAATCATTTCATTTAAGACAGGTGTACAAAAATTGAAACAAATTGATAAAATTAATCATTATTGACAATAACAAGACATATCCGTATTTAACAGTACAGTTAATTAAAATTTTGTAATGTTATCCAGCTGACAATTTCTGGTTTTTAATCCCAAGTGAGGGCAATAACTACCAAAGGGGGTCGTGCAAATATTTTGACATTGCTAATATTTGATGGGTTATTCATTTAAATTCTTTCTTTTTAGTTTTCAAAAAATCGAGCAGAATTACAACATCATTTACCTTTGTCTACAAATTTAACATATGCTTGCAAATCACTGGCCTTCTTCTTAAACTTTTTCATCTCACACTTCAAATTAGCAATATTGTAATCTTCTGGGTTTTCAACCACACTATAACCAAAAGAACAAACTCTCATAAGCTGTAAATTATAATTTCCATGAAAGTATTCCTGAACTTTGTTTATCCAGTAGACACCAGTTGACTTGATCGGCACTGTAATAGATATCTTGCCTGATAAAATATCTTCTGAAGTAGGGAAAACCCTCTTAACTGCTATGTCATGCCTGTCCAAAATTTGAACTTGTAAATGCACTTGTATATCCTATAAAATTAAGTAAGAAAAAAATGAAAGACGCTTTCATGCAAAGTTTGTTTTATGAGTATTCCCTAGGAGAACATTTGTAAGATTTGGAAATGCAATAAGGATTTTATATCAGATACAAATCATTTCATTTATGTTAAATTACGATAATGTTTAGGACTTTACTTCATAACATAATAGATGACTGTATAAAAATGACCCTGCTGATATATATCTAATAATGAATAAAATGCTCTGCTGGGCGCAGCTTGATATGACAGCAGAGGTTGAACCCTGAACAGTTGGGGCAAGTATGGACACAACATTCAAGCTTGATACAGCTCTGAATTTGGATTGTGATTAAATATTTGACACAGCATAGGTTTCTGACACAGAATGAATGTGGTCTAAGAACTTAAAAAAATTTAATTTACCGATTATGGACCAATATCCAAAATCTAAATACATGGTTAGATTCAGCATATCAAAGAATCCAAAGAATTCAATTTTTGATAAAATCAAACAAACTTTAATTTTGGACCCTTTTGTTCTCAATGTGTACCAATTTGATAACGGGGCCCAAAAATCAAAAATCTAAATACATGGTTAGATTCAGCATATCAAAGGGCCCCATATATTTATTTTTTTTTAAAATCAAACAAAGTTTAATTTTTGACCCCAATTTGGACACACTTGAAAACTGGGCCCATAATCTAAAATCTAAACACATGTTTAGATTCAGCATATCAAAGAACCCCATGAATTCAATTTTTGTTAAAATCAAACTAAGTTAAATTTTGGACCCTTTGGACCTTAATGTAGACCAATTTAAAAAACAGGACCCAATATTAAAAATATAAATACACGGTTAGATTTGGCATATCAAAGAACCCCAAGAATTCAATTTTTGTTAAAATCAAACTAAGTTTAATTTTGGACCAAAAAAAATCCATCCCCCCACCCCTAAATTTTTTGAACCCCCTTATGATTCAGCACCCCCAAACTCAATTCCAGCCTTCCCTTTGTGGTATGGTACCTTGCAATACAATTTCAGAGAGATCCATACACATGAACACAAGTTATTGTCTGGAAACTAGAAAAATGCTTATTTTTGGCCCCTTTTTCCTAAACGTTTTGGGCAATTACCCCCAAACTCAATTCCAGCTTTCCCTTTGTGATATGGAACCTTGTAGTACAATTTCATAAAGATCCATACACTTACACACAAGTTATTGTCAAGAAACTAGAAAAATGCTTGTTTTTTGTCCCTTTTTTTGGCCCCCAATTCCTAAAATTTTGAAGCAATTACCCCCAAAATCAATCCCAACATTCCTTTTGTGATATGGAACCTTGTGGTACAATGTCAGAGAGATCCATACACTAACACACTAGTTATTGTCTGGAAGTTACAAAAATGCTTATTTTTGGCCCCTAATTCCTTAACTGTTGGTACCATAACCCCCAAAATCAATCCCAACCTTCCTTTTGTTGTATTGAACCTTATGGTAAAATTTCATAAAGATTCATTCACTTAAACTAAAGATATTGTGTAAAAAACCAATGTGTCTTAGGACGATGACGACGACGACGCCAACATCATACCAATATACGACCGAAAATTTTGCGGTTGTATAAAAATAGATTTGCATTAGGTATTATTCATATCATTGTCAAAATCCAGTAGAAAAATACTAATTATAATAAAAAAATAAGGAAAAATGTGCTGGCCCAGGTTTGAAAGATACTGAAGTGGATTATGAATTTATCTAAGTATATTTGTTTTTGTGATTGTGTTGTTCAACTTGTCAGAAAAATGTGTTGCTGAGCTTATTGGAAAAAGTTAATTTTTCTAAATTATATCAGGCATGCAGAAACCTTCAATTGATCTTAAGCCAAACTGGCATTTCCTGTTATGAAGTTATTAAGGAGATGTTTGATATATTGCTTTTAGACATTTTATAATAATTGAATAGGTTGAAACAGGCTAGGTGAATATAATCAGATCTTGTGGTTTGACTAATTATAGAGCTGGTATACTAAGTTTCAAGAAGCTGTTACTAGAACTTCATAAAAAAGGACTTTAACCTGATACCAGACAGAAAAAACTGACAAAAGGATACAAAGAGGGACACACAGACCAGAAAACATAATGCACCTCTACTGTCATAGGTGATGCATAATAAGTGATCAACAAGAAATGATTGTAACAGGATGCTGTTACGAAGTCTCCCAAACGAAGCTCCCATAATTCGTAATTCCCAGGGTCGCCTGACATTGGGCAACGTCTAGTGAAAATTGGTTTGGTCCAATAAAGTTATATGCATTAGTGATGCCTGGGGAATAACCTTGTATATCATTCAAATCATCTTGGCATGACAAACCAGAATATATATGGTTTAGGGGTGGGGATCTCGACCATTTACAAGATACTAGAACATTGGGGGTGGGGAGGAACCCCTGGGGACTGGCCCTATACGTCATTCAAATGTTCATTACATGACAAACAGGAATATATATGGTTTAGGGGTGGGGATCTCAACCATTTACAAAGATATTAGAAGATTGGGGGTGGGGGGGAACCCCTGGGGACTGACTGTATACGTCATTCAAATGTTCGAGACATGACAAATAGGAATATATATGGTTTAGGGGTGGGGATCTCAACCATTTACAAGATATTAGAACTTTCTAAATGGCAGGGGGTCGGGATGACCCCTGGGGACTAACCCTGTATATCATTCAAACCATCTTCGCATGACAAACCAGAATATATATGGTTTAGGGGTGGGGATTTTGACCACTTAGAAGATATTAGAACTTTCTTAAATGGCAGGGGGTGGGGTAACCCTTGGGGACTAACCCTGTATTTCATTTGATGTGATTTATCATGACAAACCAGAATATATATGGTTTAGGGGTGGGGATCTCGACCTTTTACAAGATATTAGAACTTTCTCAAATGGCAGGGGGTCGGGATGACCCCTGGGGACTAACCCTGTATATCATTCAAACCATCTTAACATGACAAACCAGAATATATATGGTTTAGGGGTGGGGATCTTGACCACCTACAAGGTATAAGAACTTTCTTAAATGGCAGGGGGTGGGGGTGACCCCTGGGGACTAACCCTGTATTTCATCTGATGTGCTTTATCATGACAAACCAGAATATATATAGTTTAGGGGTGGGGATCTCGACCATTTACAAGATATTAGAACTTTCTTAAATGGCAGGGGGTTGGGATGACCCCTGGGGACTAACCCTGTATATCATTCAAACCATCTTAGCATGACAAACCAGAATATATATGGTTTAGGGGTGGGGATCTTGACTACTTAGAAGATATTAGAACTTTCTTAAATGGCAGGGGGTGGGGGTGACCCCTGGGGACTAACCCTGTATTTCATTTGATGTGCTTTATCATGACAAACCAGAATATATATGGTTTAGGGGTGGGGATCTCGACCATTTACAAGATATTAGAACTTTCTCAAATGGCAGGGGGTCGGGATGACCCCTGGGGACTAACCCTGTATATCATTCAAACCATCTTAACATGACAAACCAGAATATATATGGTTTAGGGGTGGGGATCTTGACCACCTACAAGGTATAAGAACTTTCTTAAATGGCAGGGGGTGGGGGTGACCCCTGGGGACTAACCTTGTATTTCATTTGATGTGCTTTATCATGACAAACCAGAATATATATGGTTTAGGGGTGGGGATCTTGACCACTTACAAGGTATTAGAACTTTCTTAAATGGCAGGGGGTGGGGGTGACCCCTGGGGACTAACCCTGTATTTCATTTAATGGGCTTTATCATTTAGAACATTTTCAATTAAAAAGATTGTGTCTATCACAAACGGTTTTCAATTTATAATCATTTGAAAATTTTTTAAAATAAAATCCCATAGGGTTCTATAGTAAAACCCTCTTTTCTTTTTGCCCCTCAAAGTACCCCTTTATAAACCCCATTGCACAAACAAAACTCTGATTGCACCACTAGACATGTTAGTCTAACATATTGTGAAACCCTAAGTTAATCTGACAAGCGGTTTTGGAGAACGGGTGCGGACAAGTTCAAATTTAAAAGCGGCGGAAGAAGAAGAAGAAGAAGAAGAAGAAGAAGAAGAAGAATAATAATAACTGAGCAAAAACAATAAGTCTTCCCAAACTTCGTTTGGGAGACTTAAATATACTAAACCACAAAAATATTTTACCTCTGTTGTCTCTTTCTTTTTTAAAGCTGGCTTCACACAGCTTTTTTTGGGTGGAGAAGCTTCAGACTTGCTATTAAGAAATCTTTTCCTTAAAGCGTCAAGACTTCTTCTACCATCTACAAAAAGAAAATAAATCTATATCCTGTCCAAATGATTTCTGATTTTTTGTTTGGTTTATAAAGAAAGACCAAAAAGTTCCCTCTGAAGTAGTTTCGCTGGGTTAAATTTTCAAAATCATTTATGATTTATAATATTTCTAATCTGTTCGTATACAGTAGATCGAAACTTAATGTAATTTGACAAATCTAAGTTCAAAAACAAAGATCTAAAAACCAAATTTGCCTTGAATTACCACAGAAAAGCAGTTAAAATCACTATTCATGATTGTTTTTCATGCAATTAAATGAATGACCCCCTAATTTTATGTCATATTATGAATCTACAAGTACAATATCCCAAGGGAGGAAAGAAAATGTAACTTGTGTACAAATGATAAATAAAGAGCTGCTATACCAATGCCTCCTATTAAAATGGTAATGAAGATGAATTCCATATTTTGCTGATATGTAAAAATGAAAATATTGTGTCATTAAGAAACAAGTACATACCTATGTGCTACACAGCTCATCCAAGCATCATCAAGTTTGAAGGTTTACTGTCTTATTGTAATACTGAACTATACAAAAAGCTACCCTTGTTCATCAGAAAAGTTAGTATATATCTTTGATTTATGTCATATCCATCTATATATATATATATATGTTGTATATCTTTTTTCATAATCATTCACACTGTTGGATTCTGAAGAGCTATGTATTGACTTTAATATGTTTAAATATTCTTCTGTCATGTTATTTACATATATTGTATTATATTTTTGACCTCATGTTACACATTTATATGTGTGTCTGAGTGATTTGTAATAAATCATTACAAATCATACTTACATTTAGGTACAAAATATGTGTACATGTACCCTACTTTGACCTGGAATTGTTGTCTTTTACAAATCATGACTTGGATGGAGAGTTGTCTCATTGGCACTCATACCACATCTTCTTAGATCTTTGTAAAATAATAAATTTTGAAAACAAAACTGATATGTTATTTTAAGAATTTTATAGCAGCAAACCTCCTTAATCTTGAAACAAGTGTCTGTAACTTTCATCAATTCAGATTAAATGTCACATAGAAAAAGTCTGTTGGGAATATCAATTCAATCTTGCCTATTATTTCTTTGCAAGGCTCATCCAGCATTTTTTTTTTCGCCCAGAGTTTGTTTATTTTTTTAAGTTCAATCAGTTCCTTTCGAAAGTCTATAACAAACTTACAAACATGTATGAAATATACTCATTTTTGGAAGACTTGAACAAAATGTCTGTATATGCCTATATTATTTCAAAGATAATTCATTTCACATTTTGCACATGCTTAATAAGAAATTCTAGCACACTTCATCATAAGTCTACAAACCTGAGGATAATTCTGTTGACATTTTTAAGCTTTCAGATTCTGCAAGAAATACATTTGAATAAATATTTAGTTAACTTATAAATAACATCTAAATAATACAAATTTATTTATACAATAACAGGTTGAATAATACCAAATAATACAGTTAGGCCACACCAATTTAATTTCTTGTTCTACGGATTTTTGGACTCCAAAAATTGGGGCAAGTGAGCAATTTGAAAATTTTTATAAAAAAATATTTAATTTGCAAATTTTTGAGGCGAAGCTTGAAAAGTAAAGGCGAGCGATTATAATTTTTTTTTTTAAACATAAGATAATAGACCCATTGGTGGCCTTCGGCTGTTGTCTGCTTTATGGTCGGGTTGTTGTCTCTTTGACACATTCCCCATTTCCATTCTCAATTTTATTTGACAATATTAAAACTTGATTTATCACTTGTACTTTGACATTTCTTTAATTGATGAAGTGCTTTTTCCATGTTCACCAAGAATAATTGAATAATAAGATGTGGTACATGTATGTGTGCCAATGAGACAATTCTCCATCCAAGTCATAGTCAGGTTGGGAACAACCCCTCAATGTTATAAATATCCCTTTTTAGGAGAGGTCAATTTAAGTTATATATTTTTTTGTAAAAAAACACTTTTAAGTACAGCTGGATACGCCCGCAGAGGTCCAACCCTGAACAGTTGGGGCAAAAATGGACACAAAATTTAAGCTTGATACAGGTCTGAATTTGGATTGAAATTAAATATTTCACATATTATAGCAGGTTTCTGAAAAAATGTAGTCAAAGAACTTGAAATATCCTTAGTAAATCTGTTGTCAGACTAAACAAATTAATAACTTTGTTAATGTCATATCAGAAATTTATGAAAAACTAAAGGAAGGTTATTTTAATAGATATAATCCTGGCACCAAAGTTTAAGGAATACTCTCAAAGCACTTTAAAGGTATTGTCCAAAAACTGGAAAATGCCCCTTTTTTTAATGAATAAAACCACATAACTCAGAAACCTAAAATCTAATACTTCTAAAAATCAAAAGGAACCTTACATCAATGGTACTGTATGTATCCCTTTGAATGGTACTGTATGTTCTCAGACACCTTGTTGAATCTTTTCATAACATTTCTAGTACACAAATTGTTAACTAGTAGCAAAGCATAGATAATTTTCTGCTCAAATGAAGATCAAGCTGATTATGAAATAGTACAACAGCATTGAACAGGTACACATCCATGTTTGACAACAGTTATAATTGATGCATTATAAAACTAAGAAGATGTGGTATGATTGACAATGAAACTTGGACTGCCTCAGGATAATCAAGGTACATTGTACATAAGGGACAGAAAATCAGCCATTGCAGCATGCCACCTACTGACCCCTCAAAGAGCTGTTGCAAGGGTTTTTAATGCACAAAGAGTGTGGCATTCTCCTTACACAATTACACTAGGCATCAGATTTAATGTCCCAATTTTTATCATGCTTACTGCACATATACATTAAAGCTCATACTCAATTCTAATACATTGTATGAAAATGAGAGTCACTTAGGTTTAAAACTATATAGTGTTCACATATATTATCCAGTATGTGCTTTATTAACTGTTTACTTCAAACTGATTGTAATTTGGATATGTTTTAGTATGTTATAGATCAAATATGACAATTAAAGTCAAATCATTGAGCCTGAATTTGACAGCAAGTCTCTTTTGAATTGACAATTTTTTCTACTATTTACCTGTATTATTGGTGCAAATGAAATGTTTTTATTTAGGTGCAAATGAAGTATGGTTGGTGGTGCAAATACAAGATTATTTTGGCGCAAAAGCAAAGCAAAGAGTTTAACAAAGGACTCGATGGAAAATACATACAAATGTCTTTTTACATGTTCAAATAAACCAATTAAAGCCAGTTGAGCAATTCAGGCTCTTAAGAACATCTAGTTTTGTCGTGTAATGAAAGATTTAAGAAACCCTAAATGTTTTATTCATGTATATATTCTGTCTGTTCCAATTAAAAAAACAATTTCATAATGTGATTTTAAGGGAATTATAAATGTTAAATTATCACTTTGTGAAGTGCACATGCACTAATTAAACACATGTGTAAATATCTCTTACCTGATGATGATGTGACTGACTTGCCACATTCTGTGCAAAAGTGTGCAGTATTGGGAAGTTTTTCCCCACAGTGTTGGCAGTACATTGCAACTGAAACATAAATGAAATATATACATTTGTATGGCAATGTTATGGTTAAATTAAATTTTTGAAGTTGGAAAAATTGCTAATTTCAGCATGAAAATGCTATGTGTATTACATTACAACAAAAGATCAAAATTAACAAATCATCATTTTATGACAAAAAAATTAAATTACTTTTGATGTGATGTTCTTTTCTATCTCTCCTTTGTCATGAAAACCTAATTAAGAATTCAAAATTGAAAAAATTTCTCCTTCTCACTGTCATGACTGTTGGACTTTTGATGGCCAAAATTTATGAGTACCACTGGCACTTTCTTTCAAAAATCCTTTTTCATAATCCTCCATGGTACATGACACAGAAAAAGTGATGTAAGGACAATGTTTCTTTGCCATACATGCCATAAGATATCAATTGGTGATTAAAATGTTTTATTTGCATGTTTTTGTAGATGTTTATGAAGCTGATCATTAATTGAACTATAACTCTTAGTGTTAACATAGTATTATAATTACCAAGCTGAAAAAGGACATCTAATGCAAGGTAGGTAAAAAATCCTGTGGCCATGCCCACCTGCATTATGTGTATGAGCATCCAACAAAATGATAAAGTTATACCTCCCAAACTGTAAGAGATAGGCAGACGAACGTTACGATTGAGTATGTATCTTACAGACGGACTGGGGTAAATAAATATCCCCGGCCTATTTTGTCGATACAGACGCCCAATCTATTGCACACACACTCATATATATATATATTTAAAGTCACAGTACCCAAATTGCACCGAGTGTCCACAAATTGTGCCTATTTAGTAAAAGTAGTAGGGGAAATCTAACTTTTTTCTTAGAGACGAAACAATTTGTATCGCCCCAAACTGGTTTACCAACTCGCCCCACTTTTTAAAAAATCGCCCCACTTGTGAAAAGGGTTAAATCTCTTTAATATTACTCCTGCCAACTCGCCCCACTTAATGAAAAACGGTAACATGTATCTAGATGAATATATAATATTCATGCCTGCCAACTCGCCCCACTTAATGAAAAACGGTAATATTTAGATGAATATATAATTTTCATGTCTGCCAACTCGCCCCACTTAACATGCTTAATGAAAACTAATCTATGTATTCATGTTCTTGTTTCTAGTGCTGACATTTCATCTAGTACTTCTTTTTATGTTATCATGCCAGTGCTTGTCATAATTGATTTAATGTATGTTTGTTTTAAATGTTATTGTTATGCATACTTATGTAGATGTGCAAACCTATCATCTGAGAATAAAATTATGTAAACACACATGATTCTTGACTTATCTTATAAAACATTGAATATATTTACCAGGAAAAAAAGTCACATAAATGCTGATGCTACCTTCTTTCTGTTTTATTTCAACCAAAGGAAAGAACAAAAAACAGATGCATTTCTAACGTTTTAATAAGGGGGGCGAATTGGAAGGCCTACACTCGTTTGTTGGCATGACTCAATATTAGGATTTTCCTATTTTTCATAAGTGGGGCGAGTTGGCATAACTCAATTCATCAGGATTTTTCTATTTTTCACAAGTGGGGCAAGTTGACATTCACGTCACCGAAATACTGATACTCACTTCTTACTGCTTTATTTAAACAAAAAGAAAAGAAAAACAAAAAGAAAAGAATTACAAAAGATGTTCATCTAAGGTTTTCATAGGTATTGATTTTATTTATAAGTGTCAGGAACATATACAAAGGGATAGCATCTTTTTCCATAAGTGGGGCGAGTTGGCATTACTAAATTCATCGTGGTTTATCTATTTGTCATGAGTGGGGCGAGTTGGCAGACCTTATTCCAGCGGGATTTTAACCCTTTTCATAAGTGGGGCAAGTTATCCAACCTATTTTCAATGGGATTTTACCCTTTTCATAAGTGGGGCGAGTTGGTAAACAAGAGTGGGTCGATTTTTCCATAAGTGGGGCGAGTTGGCATTACTAAATTCATTGTGGTTTATCTATTTGTCATGAGTGGGGCGAGTTGGCAGACCTTGTTTCAGTGGGATTTTAACCCTTTTTATAAGTGGGGCAAGTTATCCAACCTATTTTCAATGGGATTTTACCCTTTTCATAAGTGGTGCGAGTTGGTAAACAAGAGTGGGGCGATTTTTTAGGAAGTGGGGCGAGATGGTGAAAAAGTGGGTCGATTAGGTGTTGGGTGATTTGCCAGTAGGGCGATTTGTCATGGATTCCTGTGATCAGCTATAATTGTCACAATATTTGGAAGAAATCAAAATCCTTTGGCCATGAACGCCTTTTTTATGTGTATGAACATCCTACAAAATATTAAAGTTGTACCTCCAAAACTGTAGGAGATAGCCGGACAAACAATGCATCTTACGGACGAACAAATGGACGGACAGGGGTAAATTTATACCCCCACCCCTATTTTGACACGGGGGCTTAAAAATCATACAGACGCTTAGGCACACACTTAAATATATACATACATACTATATAGTCTGCATGTGCTTGCATGTTTAAGGTTTTCAGTTGTCTTTTCAACAATAACACCTATCTATCTATCTCAACCTTTCTTGGTGTAATGAACCAGAATATGCAAATCTAGAGAGTTTCGAATGTATTTCTCTGTTCCGCGTCTGCATTTGATGTAAGTCTTTGCATTTTTATATTTCCCCGCAGATTATACAATCATAATATTCGGGTCCCGGAGATTATTTTTGGTTTGGTTTATAAAAGCCGAAGATTTTATTATTGAAAATAATCTGCGGGCTCTTGATAAAAAGCCGAAGATTTTACAATTGATAATAATCGGCGGGGGTCAGACTTTTAAAAGCCGAAGATTTTATAATATAATAATCGGCGGTGAATTTTGAAAAGCCGAAGATTATGAAAAGTCGAAAATTTTGAAAGCCGAAGATTTTGGAAAGCCGAAGATTTTGGAAAGCTGAAGATTTTGAAAAGCCGAAGATTTTGAAAGCCGAAGATTTTGAAAAGCCGAAGATTTTCAGACTTTTAAAAGCCGAAGATTTTATAATATAATAATCGGCAGTGAATTTTGAAAAGCCGAAGATTATGAAAAGCCGAAAATTTTGAAAGCCGAAGATTTTGGAAAGCCGAAGATTTTGAAAAGCCGAAGATTTTGAAAGCCGAAGATTTTGAAAAGCCGAAGATTTTAGAATTGATAATAATCGGCGGGATTCTAAAAGCCGAAGATTTATTTAAATCCATGTATTTCTAAGGGAAAAATAATAATGATCGGGGGGTTCACTGTGGCTTTCCATACAATACATATACATTATAATTTAACAATTTAAATGTAATTCAAAATAATCTTTTCACACAGTTTGCAAATTGCATAAGTTAATCATGGCAAAAAATTAATAGGATTTCATAACAATAGGGTTTGTACAATTGAATACATTCAATGATGATTCAGTGTACTATTAAGAATTTTAAGAGAAGACGGCCCTAAAAGTGTGTTTCTAGGATGTGCTAAAACAAAAATATAACATAAAATTGCACTGAGATTCTCATAATGAATACATCAATATTATTGGTATAGCCATTGTAACACTTTATTATTTAAATCACTAATTAAGACTGGTATCAAAGATATTGGTTCACTAAAATTCCCAACTGTTTCAGTTAAAAAAATATTTTCCCAAATTGTGTGATGTATGATGTATTTGTGACGTCATAAACATAGGGTGAATTTGTAAACAACCTGAATTTTTGCATAATTTGGCAAATTTTATGAAAATTTTTTGAAAAATTAAGTGGCACCACCCCTCACCCACAAATATTTCAATTATACCATATTCTTTACTTTTCTACCAAAATTTCAATAGGCGAGGGGTGGCCCCATATATAAGATAATAAAATAAAGTTGAAAAAAGGAAGAAGAATTTCTATAAAAATAGACTAAAATGAAATCTATTTCTATTACAAAGTGATACATTTATAATATATGAAGCCAATATACAATTTTTCTTATTATACTACACAAATATATCATGCTTACAAGGGGTATTTTTGGCAAATACCCCTTGTAAGCATGATATAGTTGTTTAATTCCACTGAATGCTTTTTGTATCCATCTTAACCTCAGAATTTTTATTGTAATCAGGTATCCTATGGAGTTTCTGCTTGACTGTATAATTTTTGTATGTGTAATGGTATTCAGCTGTTCCTCCCTGTCCAATAATCCTGTTTCTAAACTAAACTGTAAATAACCTAGTAGCAAATTTGTATTGTATGACATAATGGATTATCTGTGTGAAAAATCAAATGACACAACCAATGACAAAGTCGGACCACAATTGTGACTTCATCAGGTCAAACAACTAACTGTGTGACAAACTCAAATGACACAAAATCCTAGCACAAAATGTGATTTCAAAATGAAGAATAGCAATAAAAGCTTTAACTAGAGGCTCTAAAGAGCCTGTGTCGCTCACCTTGGTCTATGTGCATATTAAACAAAGGACACAGGTGGATTCATGACAAAATTGTGTTTTGGTGATGGTGATGTGTTTGTAGATCTTACTTTACTGAACATTCTTGATGCTTACAATTATCTCCATCTATAATGAACTTGGCCCTGTAGTTTCAGTGGAAATTATTTTGTAAAAATTTACAAAATTTATGAAAATTGTTAAAAATTTATTATAAAGGGCAATAACTCCTTAAGGGGTCAATTGACCATTTTGGTCATGTGACTTATTTGTAGGTCTTACTTTGCTGTACATTATTGCTCTTTACAGTTTATCTCTATCTATAATAATATTCAAGATAATAACTAAAAGCTGAAAAAATTTCCAAAATTACCAATTCAGGGGCAGCAACCCAACAACGGGTTGCCTGAATGGTCTGAAAATTTAAGGGCAGATAGATCTTGACCTAATGAACAATTTTGTTTTGAAAGATTTGCTAGAAATGCTTTGGGTTTAGATATATGAGCCAAAAACTGCATTTTACCCTATGTACTATTATTAGCCATGTCGGCCATCTTGGTTTGAGGGCGGGGTCATCAAACACAATTTTTAAACTACATACCCTAATGATGATTGTTTACAACTTTAGTTAAATTCATCTTAGTAGTTTCAGAGGAGAAGATTTTTGTAAAAGATAACAAAAATTTACGAAAAATTGTTAAAAATTGACTATAAAAGAGCAATAACTCCTTAAGGGGTCAACTGACCATTTTGGTCATGTTGACTTATTTGTAGAACTTACTTTGCTGAACATTATTGCTGTTTACAGTTTATCTCTATCTATAATAATATTCAAGATAATAACCAAATAAGGCAAAATTTCCTTAAAATTACTAATTCAGGGGCAGCAACCTAACAACGGGTTGTCCGATTCATCTGAAAATTTCAGGACAGATAGATCTTGAGCTAATAAACATTTTTACCCTTGTCAGATTTGCTCTCAATGCTTTGGTTTCAGAGATATAAGCCAAAATCTACATTTTATCCCTATGTTCTATTTTTAGCCATGGCGGCCATCTTGGTTAGTTGGCCGGGTCACCGGACACATTTTTTAAACTAGATACCCTAATGATGATATTGGCCAAGTTTGGTTAAATATGGCCCAGTTGTTTCAGAGGAGAAGATTTTTGTAAAAGTTTACGGACGACAGACGACGGACGCCAAGTGATGAGAAAAGCTCACTTGGCCCTTTGGGCCAGGTGAGCTAAAAAATAAACAATTACCTACAACGTACGTGTCTATATGCTGGGGGTCCCTCTTGAAATTTCTGTTTGATATAAGTACTCAGACCTAATAGTGACTTCAGGATGAAGAACAACAATAAAAGTTGCATTCCTTTGTCATGTGTTACTCAATACCCTGTATATTAGTAGATTGCGTTATAGCATATCGTATTGTCTCTTGTGCATATACTCCATAACATTTTGTTTTTTCATACATGTATAAGTCGATGATTTTCTTTCCCTGTTTTTTGAGTAAAAAGTCTAGAGGTCTTCGGATGTCGCGTTATTTTTAGACATGGTATTTCCCATCTGCCATGGTATTTGCTAGCAAATACCGCGGCACATGGAATTCCCTAATGACAAATACACCATCAGAGAAAAGAAAATCTCAATATAGAGAAAATTGGTGAAAAATACCATTTCTCTCATCCAATCAAAATACAGCATTATTAAATAAGGTGGAATTATTTGAAAAATGATACATTTAGCAATACATACACAGTAGATTTACTAAAACAATAGAAGGCTGTTTATTGTGGTTACTGGCTCTTCTCATTTAATATACTAGTTTAATATCATATTAAGTTAACATTCCATGATAAGAAATATATATTATTTAATCCCTTTTCATAAAAATGAAAAAATACATTAAAAAAAAATATATTGCTGGTATTTTTTGTACTAAAAAGTAGAAAGTATAATTTCATGAAATTGGAATTCGTTGTGGCCTTAAGACTGAACTATAATTTCAGTCAGATTACAAAATAAGAAACTATTTTTTTTTTCAAATTTTTAGACAAATTCTTTCAAATGTACATTACAATGTACGTTAAAAAAAATTTGTGTAAGTCACTGAACCATAAAATATAAATAACAACAACTATATTTAAACCAGGGTAAAAGTGTATGGCATGTTTCTTTTCTATGACATAAATCCATCACAGCAGAATTTTATTTTTTTAGTTAGTCACATATATTGCAAATTGTCAGTAAAAGAAGTGTATACATTTAATTAAATACTAACAGTGAGCAAACAAATAAATACAACATATTTATAGCAAATGGTTCAATGAAGAAAATTAGATGAAATTTCAACTCAATTTGCAAGAGTTAAAAATATAACAAATGACAGAAATAAAGAAATGGAAATGATTGTCATTAGAAACAATGGATAATTAGTGTGTAGAACCTCTGTTTACAGTAATTACATCATTACAGGAAGAGTGTGTCTTTGTAGGGAAAAATAGTCCAGCAAAAACTAGTTTAATCAAAAAAAAAATATTTCTCTGTCCAAGGAAAATACTGCAAAACTATATTTGATGTGTTATCACTGAAGTTCTTTAAAGGAAATAATAGTACAATGCACCAGAAAATATGACTGCTTTCAATACAGTGCTCTAAGACTCACTTCAACTTTAATTTCAGGGGTAAAAGAGGGTCTGGATGAAGGGGTTTACATTTCTGTATTCTTTAAAAAAAAATTTGCCTTTTTTCTCTATTCTTTATTAATATTGCCTATCATTTTCTATTCTTAATATTTTAGCACATCATTATTCTGTATTCTTAATTTCCTAGGCCCTTTTCTGTATTCTTTTTTTTTATAGCCCATATTTCTGTTTTCTTTTTTTTTTTTGCCCCATTTTTCTGCAGAACTTCATGTGATGTATTTTTCACTACTCTGTTGATTTTTTTACTGAAACCTAGAAAGCCTAGAAATCAAAATGGTGAGGCCTGGTTTTTTTACAGTACGAAAATAAGCATGGACGAACCATGGATATGAATACTTCACTCTAAGGCCGAGTTAAAGAAAAATACACCTTATTAATAAACTTTATTCCTGGCAAGTTAGAGCATGACATATTGTATAAACTTTTGTCTATTGTCAACCACTTGATGTCTTTTGCTGTTTTTTTATCATTGAGTTGCTTTCTTATTAAAGTATACCCAATTCCTTAATTGTTTAAGTTATCAGAGCCAGGGTCTCATATAATGCATGCAACTAAGACGTTTGGATATATCAATCATGTACTGTAAATTCAGAAATTTTTTGGGTGTTTTTATAATTGACAAAATTGCAATGGGATAGGTTTTGCAAAAATAATATTTCGTGCTAAAAATTTCTAAATTTACAGTAACAAACTTAAATTCTGAAATGCCCCTTATCAGAGAACTTAATATAGATCATTGACAAAGAAGACTGAAAAAAGAAACACCTATGTCAGACTTTGCAACATCAACACAATAAAAAGTTTATGAGAAAAATGTTTTAAAAATTACATTTTCATTGATTGATATTACATCTACATCCAATAACTACACTAAAAAACAACCTTAAACAAGCCTAAATAAGCTGCCTTCTATCAAATAATATTCCCAACAAATATCATTTCCCCTTCACCTGACCACAATACTGTTTCTTGATTATAATGAGACTAGTAATATACTAAGTAGTTTCTGACTGAAAACGAGTCATAACTGTAAATCACAATGGTCGCTCCCCTTGTCCTCCAGCTAGGTCATAAACTACTGCTCCTACTTCTGCTGCCAACTTGTCAGCATTCACCTTCAAAACAAATGTAAACAATGCAATTCAAAATACAGATTTTTTATCAGAGCCGCAAAACATGGCATCAATAGACTGGAAACTTTCATACTGAATGTTTTTTCATTCCTTGCATGAGTTAATCTGGAGAAATGAGCATTCCGAGTTTGTCTACCATTGAAGAGAATTAAAAGTTTTCTTGTAATTTTTTAGCATCCCAACAGGAAACATTTGTCATTACAAACCATAAGAGACTGTTTTGCACTTGTCAATTTGGTCAACAAGTGTAAAATTGAGGTCAGTTCAATTGAAATCCCAGAACTTTGTTATAAAATCTTTAAAGAAGAATACTATATGCAAAGCTTAACTTAATCCCAGATCTTTATTCTTAGAATAATTCTAAACTTAAATTTGTAACAGAACAACTTACTCTGGTATCTGCTTCAGCATATACTCTAACAACATCCTCTGTTCCTGATGGTCTGAAAAGTGTATTTGACAATTTACCATCATTGTGATTCAAATGAGTTGACACACATAATTGTCTAACTTAAGTAAGGGAAGGGAAAGGAGAAATATAGATTCCACCACTGCAACAAGTGTGTTACGATATTTCTCCACTCCAGACAGTTAAATTTTTAAAAAGCGTGAGGTTTGCAGAGCTTTTTAAATAATAATAATTTAACTGTTCAAAGTGCAGAAATATCGTAATACCCGAGTTATAGTGGTCGAATCTGTTTCTCTAATGATTTTTATGCTTCCTTTTTAAAGATTTGCAGAAAGTTGTGTTCTTTATATGTGACGCTATCAATCATGGTCGCCTTTTTTCATGTCACAATAGGAAATTTAGAAGAAACCAGGAAAATTTGATGTCATAATTAAATTTCGACCAATCATTTGCCGAGAACAGATATTTCACTAGTGGGGAGAACAATATTTTCACAATCGGTTGGGAAATGTGAAAATAGTGAAAAATTAGAGAAAAATCTTTTTCAAAATTAAGATTTTATTGATGATGTATCTCTATAAACTGTATATTTTTTAGAAATGGATTAAAAAGTAAATTGAACATATGCAGTTAATTTCTATGCACTGAGATACGTTTGATGAGCTGAAATATATACTAATGAATATATCTGTCAAAGTACTTAATAGATTAATCATAAACTAACAAGATATATTTGATGAGTTACTAAACACATGAACATTTGAATTTTAAGAAAACAAATAAATAAATATTTTTTTTACCTCACAAATGATCGACCCTTTAGATATCCAGACACCAGTTTATCAATAGCCTCCTGTAAACCAGCAGGAGCTGTAGTCTTCCTTTCTGCATCAGTTGTCTGTATCACAGATCTATCTTTTACCTAGAAGGGAAAGACAGAAGGAAAATTTGTACAATGTTGAAATAAATTTCCATCATATCTTGATTCCTATCTCATTATTGTTTACTTGATATTTCATTTTATTTATGAACTTTCAAATCTTCTAATTTTCTTAAAATATCAATTAACTTATCTTATACTGGTTTTTAAAAGAAAAATTATGATATTTTTCGTTAAACCAGTGACTGACAAGGACTGAACATATTATCTTGACAGTGAGTTGTCTGTTTGGTAGATCATTTAAGCTACAACGAAGCTTTTAATTTTCCCTACATTGGTGCTATCTGAATAGATTCTATACTAGAATATGTGAATTTTAGGGAATCTGCCATGGTGCTATATAAAAAAAAGCATGGATAGACACATGCTAACCTTGACTTTGAGTTGTATGTTAGGGAGATTAGTATAATATTGGTTTTACACTAGTTTATCCTTACCTTGACCTTGAGTTGTCTGTTAGGTAGATCAATATAAGCTTGGTTCCATTGTTCTGCATTCCAGCCTTGTGTAGACAGTATAAGTTCTACCAACAACATGTCAGAGATAGCATCCCCTACTGTCTTATTAATGTAAAAGATAATGTATAAAGGTTAACTTCAGAAAAGAGAAAAATCTAAAGTATGGACACATCAAGAAATTTTTACTGGATGATTTATTCCTCTGAGGATGTCATATTTTCATTGAAGTGGGATCACACAGAGCCTTTCAGGGTTTCCAAAATTCTGGAAAATTAAATCTCGCCCTCTTTTTACCAAATTTAACCACATATATGAAAATATCTTGGTTGAGATGAGAGCCTTCATATATATAGAATTTTTTTTAAATAGACAGAGGAAACGAAGAAAATGCTTTTACTTCCACCTATCTGAAATAAATTGTGCATATTGACCCATATCCAAAAGGCTTTGTACTTTCACAATACTTATTGGCTAAAAAGTTTTTTAAATTGTAGTTTAATATCATCTCTTCAATGACCAACTTGTGAAAAGTTTTAGCCCATTGCTGATGAAAACAAGCATTCTGAGAGTATTGCATGGCAATACAAAGTCCCCTAACGGCTAAAAATTCATTATACTGGAACAAAATGCTAACTTGTTCTATAACTTGTCATGGTGTAAACAAAAAGTAAATATCATGTCAATATCTTCAAGCATGACTAAAAACAGTGTGGAAAACTGATTATATGAGTGAATTTTTCAAGTCCAAGGACCATAACTCTGCACAAAATCATTAGACCGAAACAAATATTTGAACTTGATCTGTAACTTGTCATGATAAAACTACATACCAATTATCAATCAATATCTTATAAGCATGATGAAAAAACATTAAATATGAATAATAGTTCTCTAATATTAGATATGATGTAATACAGTGTATATCTATTTTCAAATTATAATCAAATATAATTAATAGTTCCAAATATTTTTTCTTTCATTCGTCATAAACTAATATAGATTTGTAACTTATCTATAAAATGCCAACAACTTTTATCTACACAATGTAATGTATTGAAATATATACATTAATAACAATAGATTATTATCTAATTAAAGGATTTCTCTTCATAATTTTTTTTTATATATATATAGCATTCAGAAAATTAGTTTATACTAAATAACAAACAAACCTGCCAAAAAATTCTTCAAATAATTTAACAAAGAATGTCTTTTAAAAAATGAGTTATCTCCCTTTGTACAGAGAGATGATTTAACATAGTACTCTAACATTAGAAATGGTCCAGAGTTATGGTCCATAACTCTGGACTAAGTCATCAGACCGGAACAAAATTCGAACTTGATCTATAACTTGTCATGATAAAACTATATTAAAATATCAAATCAAAATATCTTCAAGAACGAAGAAACAAGAGGCTCTCAAGAGCCTGAATCGCTCACCTGTTATTTTTTTTGTTTAAATCTTTCATCAATGATTATTTTTGCTTTTTACCCATATGTTCAATTTTAGCCATAGTGTCTATGTTTCTTGACGTACAAGGAAATGAAATACCAAATTTATACTAGATTCATTTGAGAAGATTTTTAAAGTTAAAAAACATAAAACAACTTGTGTAAAATTGTCCTTAAAGGGCAATAACTCCTTAAGGGGTCAATTGACAATTTTGGTCATATTAAACTTTTTTGAAGATCTTACTTTGCTGAACATAATTGCTGTTTACAGTTTATATCTATCTATAATAATATTCAAGATAACAACAAAAAACTGCAAAATTTCCTCAAAACTACCAATTGAGTGGCAGCAACCCAACAATGGGTTGTTCGATTTGTCTGAAAATATCAGGGCTGATAGATTTTGACCAATTGAACAATTTAAACCCATGTCAGATTTGCTCTAAAAGCTTTAGTTTTGGAGATATAAGCCAAAAACTGCATTTGACCCCTATGTTCTATTTTTAGCCATGGCAGCCATGTTTGTCGATGGATGAAAACTTTGGATACAATTTATAAACTAGATATCCTAAGGAACATTTAGATGAAGTTTGAAGGTATTTGGCCCAGTAGTTTCAGAGGAGAAAATTTTTAAAGGTTAGCAAACTTGATGAACAAATTGTGTAAAATTGTCTTTAAAGGGCAATAACTCCTTAAGGGGTCAATTGACAATTTTGGTCATATAAAACTTTTTTGTAAATCTTACTTTGCTGAACATTATTACTGTTTACAGTTTATATCTATCTATAATAATATTCAAGATAATTACAAAAAAATGCAAAATTTCCTTAAAACTACCAATTTAGTGGCAGCAACCCAACAATGAGTTATTCGATTCGTCTGAAAATTTCAGGGCTGATAGATCTTGACCAATTGAACAATTTTACCCCATGTCAGATTTGCTCTAAAAGCTTTAGTTTTGGAGATATAAGCAAAAAACTGCATTTGACCCCTATGTTCTATTTTTAGCCATGGTGGCCATGTTTGTCGATTTGATCAAAACTTCGGATACAATTTATAAACTAGATACCCTAAGGAACATTTAGTTAAAGTTTGAAGGTATTTGGCCCAGTAGTTTCTGAGAAGAAGATTTTTGAAATAGTTTACGACGACAGACGACGGACGACGACGGACGCCAAGTGATGGCATAAGCTCACATGGGGCCCTTTGGGCCCCGGTCAGCTAAAAAGTGTGGAAAGCCGATTTGCCGGACTGACGGATGGACAGACAGACGGACGGAGTGCAAACCTAAAGTCCCCTTCCACTTCGTCGGTAGGGGACTAATAATTTTTATAGTATGAAGCAAGTGCAGTGTTATTCAAAATACCCTTACAGTCCAATTCCAGGGATTAAATTTGTCTTAAGAATGTTGGCAGAAAGTCAATAGCAGGAGCAATATTTTATGTAAAATATAAAATGAAGATTAAATTGTGCATATAGCATTATAAGATATAACCTTTAACTGGAAAAAATGTAAACTGTTCTCCTCTTTAGCAATACAATGAATTTAAAGTATATTCTGTCTATAATCTTACCTGATTAATGAGATCTATGACAGTTAACAGGCAGGAAGCTGACTTTCTTTGTGCTTCTGTCTTACTGAAAAAACAAAGCAAAATATCAATACTCGACAAAATTTCTTAAGTTTGTTTAAATCTGAACTATAGGTTATTATTACTGTATCAACATCTTATTATTAAATGAAAACTGGTACTCAATGTTGAAAGTTGAATTTAAGCAATGAATCTATTGTACACTATCAAAATTTTGGATCTTTTTCCAAGGGACTGTGTCTCCAAGAAGATAGATTTGATGAATAAGAAAACTGAAACTTTTACATTTAATTGTAAATTTATAAGTATAAGTTTACTTTTTGAAAATCTTTTAACAAAGGCTAGGCTGCTTAAAGTCAAACTAGCGTCAAGTCAGGAATCTTTGTTTTTTTTGTCTGTTCATGTTTTTTTTTCACTTAAAAATTTGATGTCAGATATTTGTGTATCTCTGTTGAATTTATTCATATTTTGTAAAGATTAATGATAATTATATCTGGTCATCTGTTGTAGGTGCATGGTCATTATAGACAATGTATGGTGACATAAAAACATCTATTTGTGTGAACTAATTTTTCTGTTGCAGTCTTATTGATATACTATAAATTAACTTATATTTTCCAGCAATTTATTTTTGTGTCTAAAAAATATTGTGAATATCAAAAGTCAAGAACATGCCAAACTTGGATATTTTCCTTTCTGAAAACAAGTTAAGTAAGAAAATAGCAAATATCTATATCTACAGGGAATCTGCTGAAAAGTGCTCAACACAAAAAACTGTCGCTCACCTTGGTCTATGTGCATATTAAGCAAAGGACACAGATGAATTCATGACAAAATTGTGTTTTGGTGATGGTGATGTGTTTGTAGATCTTACTTTACTGAACATTCTTGCTGCTTACAATTATCTCTATCTATAATGAACTTGGCCCAGTAGTTACAGTGGAAAATATTTTGTAAAAATTTACAAAAATTTACAAAATTTATGAAAATTGTAAAGAATTGACTATAAAGGGCAATAACTCCTTAAGGGGTCAATTGACAATTTTGGTCATGTTGACTTATTTGTAGATCTTACTTTGCTGTACATTATTGCTGTTTACAGTTTATCTCTATCTATAATAATATTCAAGATAATAACCAAAAGCTGCAAAATTTTCTTAAAATTACCAATTCAGGGGCAGCAACCCAACAACGTGTTGCCTGATTGGTTTGAAAATTTCAGGGCAGATAGATCTTGACCTTATGAACAATTTTATCCCGTCAGATTTGCTCAAAATGCTTTGGTTTCAGAGATACAAATGTATGAGACAAAAACTGCATTTTACCCTGTGTACAATTTTTAGCCATGTCAGCCATCTTGGTTCGCGGGCGGGGTAATTTTTAGCCATGTCGGCCATCTTGGTTCGCGGGCAGGGTCATCAGACACATTTTTTCAACTAGATACCCTAATGATGATTGTGGACAAGTTTGGTTAAATTTGTCTGAGTAGTTTCAGAGGAGAAGATTTTTGTAAAAGATTACAAAAATTTACGAAAAATGGTTGTAAATTGACTATAAAGGGCAATTACTCCTTAAGGGGTCAACTGACCATTTTGGTCATGTTGACTTATTTGTAGATCTTACTTTGCTGAACATTATTGCTGTTTACAATTTATCTCTATCTATAATAATATTCAAGATAATAACCAAAAACGGCAAAATTTCCTTAAAATAACCAATTCAGGGGCAGCAACCCCACAACGGGTTGTCCAATTCATCTGAAAATTTCAGGGCAGATAGATCTTGACCTGATTAACAATTTTACCCCCCATGTCAGATTTGCTCTAAAAGCTTTGGTTTTAGAGATATAAGCCAAAATCTACATTTTACCCCTATGTTCTATTTTTAGCCATGGCGCCCATCTTGGTTGGTTGGCCGGGTCACCGGACACATTTTTTAAATTAGATCCCCTAATGATGATTGTGGCCAAGTTTGGTTTAATTTGGCCAAGTAGTTTCAGAGGAGAAGATTTTTGTAAAAGTTAACGACGACGGACGACGACGACAACGACGGACGCCAAGTGATGAGAAAAGCTCACTTGGCCCTTTGGGCCAGGTGAGCTAAAAAGTATCCCCTAAAACAAGTTGGCTTGCAGTACATAAAAAATTTCCGTTTTAATTGTAAGATAATTAAATATATCATTAAACGTTATCAAATAGAAAAACTTTTCTGTATCCAATGAATGATTTTTACCAGTTCTCAAACAAAGGACTTTTTCATCCTAGCAGCCCATTAAACAAAGTGAATTTGTCTGGAATTTGAACCAGTTCTTACCTAGTATCTTTGGTAGCATTACTGATTGTCTGTGTAGCTTTATCACTGAACAGCACCTGTAAAGAAAAAAATTGTACCTTGGTTTTCATTTGTATTAAAAAATAAAGTATAAAAAAAATAATGGTTCACTTTATGACGTCCTTGTTATACAATAAAACAACAGGTTAACAAGGAACAAGATGTAGGTCAGCATCCATAATAAGCCTTAAAGTGAGGTACTCAAATATAAATATAATTTGTAAAAAAAAAATAAGTTGTTAAATGTTTACAAAGTTTGGAATTTCCAGAGAACTTATTGTTAAATGGGGATTTTTTTATCTCGGGAAGCCGCATTACAATGGGCTTTATTGGGTATGCAAAATTGTGAAAAAAATGAATCATACTCAGTAACCCAAAAATTAAACCACACATTGTCCTTTTTTGAGCAAATATTAATTTTTTTTTAATACATGTAACTGTAATGATGGCTTATTCGAATGTAGGATCTTTCGTTCTATTTGAAGACTGATTAATAACAAACTTTTCAGTTGAAATTTAATATGCTGTTTGCTGGAAGCTTCAAAACTACACTAACCATAAACTTTTTTGCCTAAACATTACAGATGCAAATCTAAAAAAATTGTCATAGCAATGTCTCTGTGAGCCTGTTTTACTTATTGAAGTGCAAATATGTATTGCACATTAAATTTCTATACATAATTTTGACAGAAAAAGATAATCTGCCTTGGACTGATCCAAATGATAAAACCATTACATATATGTGGTATACTATAAGTCTTAAACTACAACAGTGTGACTTTTGTTGAACATGTAAGAATATGTTTTCTTGTGTTTAATGCAATATTTCCTAAACAAACTCCAGAGCAAAATTTTAAGACACTGAATTTAAAAATTACATTTTTAAAAGAAATTAAAAAGTACAACCCAATTGTCTTTCAATATATTTTGATGTAACAACTAACTACTTACGGTGCCATGGCCATTTGCTTCAAAATAAACACCAATATCAAACTCTAAAGCTCTGTGGTGTAGATGTTTAACCCCTGTAGGTACACATGCCACTGGGACTTGCTACAAAGTATATAAACCTAATGATTTTACAACATTTATCTACAATAGGAGATGATGCAGATGTCTTTTACCATCAGCCATCAAATTCTTTTTTTTTTCAAACAATATTAGCATCATATAAAATCTTTATCATAAAACCCCAGTTTTTTATGCTACTATTAGCATGAAATTGATATTATCTATTCAATTTCTGTGTAATTTATTCACAACTTTTATACACTCGGGACAATTTAGATCTTAACATATTGTTTAAATACTGTAAATTCAGAAATTATTGCATGCATTTATTATTGCCATTTTTGAAGAATGGACGAAAATGCAAGATTTATATTTGCCATTTCAGGAAAAGCTACCTACAGACATTTGTATCATATATCATAATGCAACTTCTTATTATTGCGATACGCACCCAGTCGCATTATTTGCATTAATAAAAACCACGGAATAATTTCTGAATTTTTACTATTGAGTGCATTTATTATTGTGATTGTTGAACAAACTAAGAGTTTAATTATTGCAATTTCAGTAAATGCTGCTTTTAAAAAATGCTATCAAAATTCAAAATGTGTGAGTTTTTATTTTTGTGACACCTATCTCATTGCAGTTTTCGCAATAATTTAAACATTGCAAATATTTCTGAATTTCCAGTACCTGTCTATTGTTGAAGACTGTATGTTGCCCTCTAGATGTATTTTGTCATATTTGTTTGTGCATCAAAATTGTGTTTAATGAAAGTAAGAACTTACTAGCTTATTTGTTATATAATCTGTAGAGCTACCATTAGCATAAGCTGTCTGTACTAAGCCTAAGTTTAACTTCAATCCTGATTCACTCATCAGATTCTTTAAATATCCTGCAACCTAGAAAACACAATATATTACAGGGGCGGATCCAGGATTTTAGATTAGGGGGGCGCAATTTAAAATTTTTTTGAGGTAAAATTATAGAAATATTTTTTATTAAGCTGAGGACAACCCATGCTTTGCAAATTTTAGAGGGGGGGCACACACCCGCCACGCCCCAGCCTGAATCCGCCCCTGTATTATAATTGTGATTGTCAAAGCTAAATACTTAAATATAAGTCCTATTTCACTTGTCAGTTTATTTGTTAATCTACAAACTTAAAATACATTAAAATTTATAATACTTCCATGTGCCTTTCCAAAGTCAGGAACCTTGTCAGTAGATGTGGTATGTCTATAGTCTATACATTGGTAAAAGATTGAATAAACTTTTTATGACTACATTTTAAATAAAATATTGCAATCGTTGCCTTGACATTAATTTTGCATCTATAAAAATGAGATTTTAATAAAAAGATAATGTGTGTAATAAGGGTTATAATAAAAATCTTGTTAATTATCAGGATTTATATAAATTTCCATGCATGGACCAATAAAATTCAATAGAGCCTACTGTCTTTTCATAAAAATAAAAATTATGCACAAATTAAAGTCACTACTGTAAATTCAGAAATTATTGCGTGCATTTATTTTTGCGATTTTATCATTTTAGACTTAAATGCGATTTTAATTTTTACGATTTTAAGAAAAATCCTGTTTAGTTCATATAAAATATTTCAAAATGCGAGTTTAAATTAATGCGTTTACAACTCTGTCGCATTTGTCGCATTAATAAAAACCTCGCAATAATTTCTGAATTTACAGTATTTTAAATCAAAATTATTTAAAAAAAACCAAGATGGAAACCCTTGACAAAGAGAGCAACTTCCTAATACATGTATACGTACAAGTGTAGCAATCTTGTCACCATCAAGTAAATGGAATGTGTTATCTGAAATAAAAAAAAAAATACTGTAAATTATTGTGTGGTCTCTATTAACTTACATTTAATCAGTGTTCTCCTTATACATCATATGTAAAACATATATAACATTCTGGTAAACTGGAAATTTTGAAACAGCCCGGGAAAATATGGCATCACATGCATAACCAAATCTATAAGAATGTCATTTCAGATAACCTCACTTAAGCAAAATATAGCATCAGATTACCGTGATACTAAAAGGCCATGGCGAAAACACAGTAAAATAATGACCTTTACATTTAAAATAATGTCATGCTTAAATGGAAATGTTTCTTTCTTCCTTAAATGAGAAAGAAGGAATAAGTGGTGAATATATATGAAACAACAATCTCTATTAAGGAAAACCCATCAAAAACTCAAAAGGATGGATGGGGTAGAATGTTTCTTCAAGTAATACAAAAATAATGGAAGGTGAACAACCTGAATAGGTTTGCAAAAATAATATTGTTAAAAAGTTTTACCTACAGTGTATCTTTTGAAAATTTTGCTAAAGAAATGACAGAGTTCCAAAGACTGAAATGAGAAAAAAAGTCCACAAATAATTCAATAATAGCAAGTGCACAACTTCAACATGTGTGCAATCTTTCTTTTAAGTTTCAAGGAGTTAGGTTGAAGAGGCACCAAACCAGACACTCTCATACCCTAGTCTCCTCCCACCCTGTCTGACAACAGATGACTATAAGCCAATTTTCCATTTCCTGAGACCCAGCCAAAATTTATTTAATTAAAAAAGCAGAGCTTTTATTGCTGTCCTTCATTTTGACATTTGTTGGAAGTTCTTAGAAAACGAGCTGAATAAGTATCAAATCAAAGTAAATTTTAAAAGCTGTAAGTCACTGGTATAATTCTGGATTTTATAATCGGTATTTTTTTTTGAATTTAGTCTACACTACTACAAAGGTTTGCTTAAGTTCTGAGGCTCTTTTAGTAACAAGGTAACCTTATTTCCATCAACCTTGATTTCAATTTAATGTCATCATATTAAATCTTTACCTTTATCTCCATAATAATAAACAATTCTATCAGCATCTCCATCATATGATAAACATCTGGTTCCTGGTTTCATGTCTATGCCTGAAACCGATCAAATCATTGACTCTATTAACAATTTTTTTCATAAATTGGTTGCAGAAATTGTTGATTACATAATTCTACAGCTAAATATAACAATTTGCTCTATTCTATAAATACTGATTATAAATGTTGCTCTGATCATTGATAGATACACTCTTCGCTTATTTTTAAAATTGAAGGCATGGAAAATTATTAATTCTGATGCTTCAATCAGTCAGCTTGTACGACAGAAACTAAATCAATAATTATAATAGTTTGTTTGAGGTAAAAATATTTATTATTCAATAAATTAATAGCTGAAGGTTTAACTTAATACCTGCAGGTGGTTTCTGTTGGACTTTCACATAATCTGCACCACACTAAAATATGAAACAGAAATCTTCATATTAAGACTAGAACACTTCTTGTTATCTTTATTTACCAAATATAGTAACAAAGTCATATTTCGTAGATTTTTTTTTAACAAAAACTGTTGAAGAGCAAGGTTTGTGATTATTATATCTGACCTAGATGTCTTTTGATTATTTGTGTTGACTAATGCTGTTACATTTTGTTTTAATTACCAGGCTTAACAAGAGGCTCTCAAGAGCCTGAATCGCTCACCTGTATTTCAGAGGAGAAGATTTTTAAATGTTAGCAAACTTGATGAACAAATTGTGTAAAATTGTCTTTAAAGGGCAATAACTCCTTATAGGGTCAATTGACAATTTTGGTCATAATAACTTTTTTGTCGATCTTACTTTGCTGAACATTATTGCTGCTTACAGTTTATATATATCTATAATAATATTCAAAAATAATAACAAAAAACTGCAAAATTTTGTTAAAACTACCAATTCGGTGGCAGCAACCCAACAATGGGTGTTCGATTCGTCTGATAATTTCAGGGCCGATAGATCTTGACCAATTAAACAATTTTACCCAGTGTCACATTTGCTCTAAAAGCTTTAGTTTTTGAGATATAAGCCAAAAACTGCATTTGACCCTTATGTTCTATTTTTAGCTATGGCAGCCATGTTTGTCGATGGATACAAACTTCGGATACAAATTATAATGAAGATACCCTAAGGAACATTTAGTTAAAGTTTGAAGGTAATTGACCCAGTAGTTTCAGAGGAGAAGATTTTTAAATGTTGGCAAACTTGATGAACAAATTGTGTAAAATTGTCTTTAAAGGGCAATAACTCCTTAAAGGGTCAATTGACAATTTTGGTCATAATGACTTTTTTGTAGATCTTACTTTGCTGAACATTATTGCTGCTTCCAGTTTATATATATCTATAATAATATTCAAAATAATAACAAAAAACTGCAAAATTTTGTTAAAACTACCAATTCGGTGGCAGCAACCCAACAATGGGTTGTTCGATTCGTCTGATAATTTCAGGGCCGATAGATCTTGACCAATTAAACAATTTTACCCAGTGTCACATTTGCTCTAAAAGCTTTAGTTTTTGAGATATAAGCCAAAAACTGCATTTGACTCTTATGTTCTATTTTTAGCCATGGCAGCCATGTTTGTCGATGGATACAAACTTCGGATAAAAATTATAAACAAGATACTCTAAGGAACATTTAGTTAAAGTTTGAAGGTAATTGGCCCAGTAGTTTCAGAGGAGAAGATTTTTGAATGTAAGCAAACTTGATGAAGAAATTGTGTAAAATTGTCTTTAAAGGGCAATAACTCCTTAAGAGGTCAATTGACAATTATGGTCATATTAACTTTTTTGTAGATCTTACTTTGCTGAACATTATTGCTGCTTCCAGTTTATATATATCTATAATAATATTCAAAATAATAACAAAAAACTGCAAAATTGTGTTAAAACTACCAATTCGGTGGCAGCAACCCAACAATGAGTTGTTCGATTCGTCTGAAAATTTCAGAGCTGATAGATCTTGACCAATTGAACTAGTCTACCCCATGTCAGATTTGCTCTAAAAGCTTTAGTTTTTGAGATATAAGCCAAAACCTGCATTTGACCCCTATGTTCTATTTTTAGCCATGGCGGCCATGTTTGTCAATGGATCAAAACTTCGGATACAATTTATAAACAAGATACCCTAAGGAACATTTATTTAAAGTTTGAAGGTATTTGGCAAAGTAGTTTCAGAGGAGAAGATTTTTTAAATAGTTTACGACGACGACAGAAGACGGACGACGACGGACGCCAAGTGATGGCATAAGCTCACATAGGGCCCTTTGGTCCCCGGTGAGCTAAAAACTAGAAAAATAAGGAGATGTGGTATGAAGCCCATTTAAAACCAATAGACCACTTTAGAGTTTGTTGCATTTCCGTCAAAAACTCGGGTTTTAGTGAACATCATTCGTGCGTTTTGGGGTATCATTACTTCCTTCCCATGTTGAGAGAACGGCTGAAAAATTATGATGCTATATTGCACAAATTATTCTGCAAATTAAATTTCATAATTGATAATCAGTACTGGTGTCATTAGAGAATTGTGGTTAAGTACCTACGGAACAAATATTATTTCTAGTTTATCCTACATAATGACCATCACGAAGATACTTGATGAACTTTAATAGTGCAGGGATACAGGCGATCCCTCTATCTGGTGAATGACGTCATAAAGGTGCGCAAAATTGACAAACTTTTCCATTGAAGGACATGAATTGAAACTGGTCTATAGCATGTTATCATTGATAAGCTCCTTAAGAGCTAAACAAAAACTTTTTTTTGTACTTTCAAGGGACAGATCATTTGAAGCTAAAATGAGATCCAGATCAGACTTGATGTCAAGAAAATTATACCCTTCTTGTAATACAACATTGATGAAAAATTCTACGTTAAGTGGGTACAAAATAAAATTCAAAGTGTTGTCAACCAAGTGGTGACTGGTCAGCAGATCTAAAAATAGCTCAAATGGTGCTATTTAACATTAAGTTCTCAGTGTTCCAGCTTGATCGTTTTCACAGGGCGGTACGCCCGCCCTTTCCCGAGTGCCGCCCTGTGCCCTTTTTCTGACACCCTGTGCCCTTTTTAAGACACCCTGCCCTTTTCTGCAAGTCCATGCCTTTATTGTCATAATATTTTGATATATTATTTCGTCACATTTTATAAAACTTTTCATTAAAATCTTTTGACAATTTCAATTATAAAGATAAAACTTTTTTCAAAACAATCAAAAATATTTTCACGATTCAAACATGTGCTTTCTTTATCATGAATCTGCATGCGTGAACGTATCTTTACAAATTTAATAGACACTTAAATGTAAAATGCGAAATCGTTTAGTATCAAATTAACCAGAGAGACAAATATATTTTTTACTGAGCAACTGAAATTTAAAAAATGATAATTTCTTGCCTTTACATTAAACACAAACCAATCCGTAGATGAATCCGGATTCATTCTAAATTTATTATCCTCTTGTCACTTCCATTTTTCATTTCGTTTAAAAATCGAAAGTAAACGTGATCTTTTCTTGATAAAGGACTAGGGCTATAAGGGCCATTTTTGGCCCCACCCCCAAATTTCATTTAATTTGCCATGTTGTAACTCTATACCATAGACCTTCTGAAAATGATTGCATTTTGGCTCTATCTCGTATATTTTGTTGCCTAGCAACCATCATAATGGCGGAGTTAAAAATGCTTAATATACAGCTTAAATCTATCTATATTTGAAATTAAATCTTTTTAGCATGAAGTAAACTTTACACTTATACACTGTTTTAATATAACATAATGAAATGCACATTTCTTGCAAAATTCACTGTTGTTTCCCCCTAGCAACAAATCTTTGTCCATAGCAACGGCAATTGGTTTTCTATTTTACAAGACTTAATTTTAGATATGTTGCAACAAAAAGACAATTCAAGATGCAAATTGTAAAAAATAACAAACTCAAAGCATATGTAAAGGGGAAAAAGCAATATTGAAACATTAACAAACAAAACTACACACAACCAACAGTTATTCTTCAAGAGAACTTGGTAAGGAAATGCACTTAATTAAAGAGTCCATCTGTGGAGTTAAAAAAAATCTATCTTTGCGTTTACATGTACGGTGAAATTGCTGGTTATTACATTTTTTTTTCAGGAATTAATGCTTGTGCACCTTATATATTCTTATAATTATACTGGGTATTGCTGATATACAGATTGTGCATCTAGTGCTAGGTGGGTGTCTCACTTATCAGCGACAAGAAGAATAATATAACGACAAGAAGACTTATTTAGCGTTAAGAAATCTTATTAATACGAATAAGAATTACATTGATTTCCCAGTGAAATAAAAACCGATAATTTCACATGTGAAATAAAAGTGAAATAAACGTGGTTATTTCACTCCTCTGACGTCATACAACAAAAGGCGTTGTCAAGTCGTCGATTACGCCCAATCAAAACAAATTGTGAATGCGTTGAAAAAGATATTTTCTACTTTAATTTTATAAAAAAAGCATCTGTCAATGTAATAAAAAGAATAACTAATCAAAGAATTTAAATGTCGAAAAATATTCAACTCGTGACCGAACAACTCTGATAATTAACTTATGCGCTACGCACATTTGTGAATTAATGTTTTGTTCGGTCACTCGTAGAAAATATATCTCTTTTTGAATTCTTCGATTAGTTATTCTATAAATATTGATTATCTAAAATAAATATATAAAATATAGAAACATGCATAAAAGGGTGTTTTTAAATATCAGTGTGTTTTCATTATAGTGTGCATGTCTCGGTGGGGGTGGGGTCGGGGGGACTTCTATATACAAGGTGATAGGACGTGCCACTGTAATAGGCCAGCTTTTCAAACTTGAAAATATATTAATAGTTCGGGAAAACTATCAGAAATATATGATATGATCAATAAGGTTCCCATAACTTTTTCGTCTATCATCTTTCTTGGTGTTCCCGGCTGTGTCTTTATCAACAAATTTTTTTCTCTTTTGACACTTTGGTATTCTACTCTTACATTACACACCACATGAAACCAAAACAATATGGGAAAAGGTTACTTTTTTACCTATATGAAAAGGTATATATCTTTAAAATCTAAATTATATGAAAATGCTGAGCACAGCGACACCCCCTATCAATTAAGTATTGAAAAAGCCCCCCCCCCCCCCCTTATCAATTAAGTATTTTTTTTAGTATATTTTTTATTTATTTCAGAGTCAAGATAACCATATATATAGCATTTCAAAACTGTAACGTGCTACTAAGTAAAACAAAATTTTAAACCTTTCAAACAAACATATAATCAGCTGTAATTAATTGACTTTTTCTATTAATTTATTGTTTTGATATTATATAAAATGTCTTGTCGCTAATAAATGAGACCAATCGCTGTGGCGGAGAAGGCATTATTGTTGGTATCCGGTTCTGTCTTTCCCACATTTGTACGGTATACATTCGAACCCCACGGGTTCGTTCACACCATATACATTCGAACTCCATTTTTATTTAAATGCAGTTTATTATATGTTCATTTGTATTTTCAGATGCATATATCAAAATATTTATATTTTCACGAACAAAAATTGTTAATTGTTGGATGAAATTAATTTTAGTTGATTAGGTGATTAATTTTTGAATGTTAATTTTCTATGATTACTATAAATTGTATTTGCAAACCTTATTTGGTATTATTGTAATATATTTGAAATCATGATAGCTGTTATAACTAGTGGTGTAAAGAGAAATACAAGCAGTTATCTTGGTAGGTGTAAGAAAAAAGAAAATTTTCAATTGAAAACATGAAAGTTAATTGCTTTTAACAGCTGGACTCCTTATTCTCGTGTATTTAGACAAGTATGATATACTACAACGCCAAAAGTGGTAGAGGGTCTGTATGTTGGGTCCTTCATATCTGTATTCTTAAAATTTTTCTCTATTCTTTATATATATATTATTTGTTTTATTGTGGTTGTTGTCACTGTGACTAGTATGATCTTTGCTTGGTATCTTCCACCTTCACAAATCTTAGAGACGTATGACCTGGTCTTTGATTATCATTACAATATTCATTATTCATTACGTCAAAATAGTTCAAAAAACAAAACCTGTTTACATTTTTAAAATTTCACTTTATTTTTAAACATGATTAAAGAATTATTGAAAACATAATGTTTAAAAGGGTAACCGTTGCAGACGTCTAGGATGCTAACAGATTACAGGCACTTGTTTCTAACCATGGGAAGAATGACTATCCATATATATGGATATATCTAAAACTTCGCAATCCTTTTTACCACTAAACACAGATCAAGTCAGAATTTAGGTGGTGTCACTTTCACTGTTCTGGAGTAATGTTCCTTTACAAGTTCAAAAAACCAGGATTTTGCGGTTTCTGTTCTCTTACTTTACTTTGCCACAAACAAATGTTATGAAACTTGTACTCAATGCTTATTACCCAGAAAGACACATCAAATTAGAATAAGGGTGGTATCATTTTCAAAATAAATCTCATGTTTCTCACCAAGTATGTAAATTTAAGCAAAAAATCTTTTAAATTCGGTATACTTTGTCCCCCCCCTCCTTTTTTCCCACATAAATTATAAATCCGACCCTAATACCAGAGAAGATTGCCCCATTCAAACACCAGATTTTGAATTGAGATTAGCAGAAAAATAAGAAATGTACAGATTGTGTTATATTGCATGTCTATCTCAAATTTCATATTTCAAGAAAAAACTTTTCCTCAAAGTTATCGTTTACTCCCTTACAATATGTAGGTCATTGCTTTCGTTTTTTTTAAAGTTAAACTAGGTACACTTACGAAAAAAATATAAAAAGTAAATGTTACTGATTCATAAGCAAAAAAGTAAAATTCCTATGGACATAAGAATGTATAAATTAAACTTTGTCAGATAAACAGGTCTAATTTTGACGGCAAATTTCAGCTTTTTATTGCTCCGCTTGGCTATGAAAAATATATAATAAACTATCGCACCAACCTTGCACCAAAAAGATTTTTTATCTGAAGTTTGATATGTATGAACTTGTCAAAATGTTAAAATTTCTAATTGGTGCAAGCATGGTGCGGTGGTCAAAATTTAGAAAAACCATCCCAATTTCTATATTTTTGCTTATTTTCCCGTTTATGATGTCATTTGCACATACCATTGTGACATCATTGAACCTTGTTTTGTTAGATAAAAACAGTTTTGTTTAATCATAGACTCATATTCTAATAATTTATGGAGAAAAATCTGCTCTGTTTGAATTTTTATAATTTTGTAAATCTGGGGCCATTTTAGGCCCTTATAGCCCCTACTCCTTTAAAATAGACAATCTTTTTAATCATTCCAACAGGGCTCACACTACTTCAGAATCATAGGGAGAAGTGACTTCTCTTTTTGAAATTGAGAAGGAGAAGTGGTGAGATTTGAAAGAGAAGTGCTTGTTTGCTCGCGGCACTACAATGTTTGGTTTTTACTATAATACATTAAGGGTCACATGTTTCTTATTTTTTTTTTATATTGTTCAATTTGTACCTGGGTATACAATTAAAGTAACTGTTCAAATTTAAAGTTGTTTAATTTGATCATATCTAGTTCATCAATCATATGAGTCCTCTTGTCAGAAAAAAACAATTAAATATCTGGCAATAATAAAAAAGATTTTTTTTTATATCAAAAAGGAAAAGATAGTTGTTATATCAATTAAAATTCAATTAAAAACCTACTCTGTTATCATGTTCATGAAACTAAGTATTTCTCAATAAAAAGATATATAAATTTAACAGTTAAGCTTGGACATAAAATAGTTATATTAGTGTAATAGTCCCAGAGTTGAGCAACTGTAACTTATAAATTGAAACAATGCATATACATGGAAATATTTACATTAATCAAGAAGATCTAACCAAAAGTATGTTAATGCATGTGGAATGCGTAATTTTTCCTTTTGGGATCAATTTTTGTCTGTCAGCAGTGCCATTCATGCATCTGTAGTAATTATTGTAAGAATCCAGATTTCGGTCATTGCCTGTCCGTTTCCGATGAAATCCCGACTCCGATCCGTAGTTGTACAATAATATACCCAATAATTTAAATGGCGGACAAAGAAAAATTTACAAAAATAAACAATGTTTGACACGCTATTTGGAAAGGAATATTACGTTTTTAGTGCAATACATGGATAACAAATTTACTTTAAGCAAATTTCATCAAGTTCTAATGAAGTAACAACTTTTTTTGCCGAAAGTTAGAATGATTTGATGTACGCTCTCCGAGTAACAAGTACCGGAAGTGATAAACAATTGTTTTTATGAAATATCATGCCACCAACTTTAAAATCAATGCTTTAACCTCTTTTCTGAAGAAAATAAATCGTTTATGCCTTGAATTTCTTTACTTTAAAATGAAAAATTGCTGTTTCATCGACTTGGTAAAATTTGAATATTGCCGATGACGAAAGCGACTGAAAGCAAGTATCGTAAAAAACAGGGCAACATGTTTTCGCTTTTGAGGGTCTGGCAAAGCTAGGTGGCGGACTGGAAAGCCACTTCTTCGCCCTAGTCGCCTGGTAGCGTGAGCCCTGTTCCAAGCTCACAAAAATGAATTCCAAATATCGATTTTAAAACGTTTTTTACAGGGATATTGATTATGCAGTGAAATAGTCCTTACAATTTCATTTATGCTGTGATTCCTTGCTTTGAAAAAAAGGAACCCGACTTCTGTTGATCAAGATGTCCCCTCAAAATAACTGAAATTGTGAACTAAATTTCCAGATCCTTGTTCTTATCATCATATGTAAGCATCACACCAGTAAAATCATACCATGACTGCCTACATTTGTAGCATGCCTCATGTCTTCAAAGATCCTTGTCCATAAAGGACTAGGGCATATGTATCATAGCTAGTAATATACATCCTTGGTCCCTTACTGTTACCCAAAATAATGTTGATTTTCATCTGGCATAAAAATGACGAAACCCCCTCAAAACTCCTAGCTGAAACCCCTGCAGTTTAAATTAGACAATGTTTGACATGCCCTTTTTGACATATCAATCATCGTGCTAAAGTGCCCTTTGCATGATTGGCTTCCTGCCCTTTTGAAATCCTAGCTGGAACACTGAGTTCTTGACCAAAAATCAAATCATTCCTCACTACAGATGGTGAGTAATATGTAATGATGAATCCTTCCCTGAAAGAGAAATTAATTTTTTCAAGTTATCATTAAGAAAGTTATGTGAAGACAATTGAAGGAGGTTTTTATCCTGACAGTAAACTATTATTTACCTCATGGTTAAGTCTTCCAGAACTTCCATCATTTCTCAGCTCAATATGTAACAGATCTTTGATATGTAAATTGAGAAGTTTGGTTTGAATTGCTCCAATGCCATTGGCTGCATCTATTACCAAACTAGCTTTATAATTCTTATTTCCCTGTCAAAAAATTTAAAACATGAATAGTTGTTTTTTATCTTTTTTGATGATTATATAGCATAGACATTGAACTGTTGCCTTTTTTTATCAATGTAGAAAGAAATCAACCAAATTAATCAGTTATCATCATAACCTAGGATTGAAATTTGTAAATTTTTGATTAAAAATGAATAATTATTGAAGAATCATAAAAATAATTTAGTGAATTGGTAAATGGACAATTGGTCTCACTTCATTTAACAGTGAACACATCTCTGGTCAAGGTTTAGTTTGAACTGACTTCTAATTTAATCTAAACACGTTTTTTTATTGGTCACGCAGTACAGTAATTTATATTGGATAAAAATTTCAGTTTAAAAGTAGAACTCACTACTGATTTTCACTTTTCAGAAACACCAGAAAACAGGTAGTCAACATTTTAATAATTTAGAATTTTTATGTTTAAATATGTCTTATTTTGTCGTTGAAACTTCTATCAGCGTTGTTAATTTGTTAATGAACATTGTGTTTCGTCGTTTGTTAATTTTTCAAAACAATATTCTTTATTTAATTTGAGCATTTCGTCGTTTGTTCATTTTTTCAGAAAGAATAATAGCTTATAGCGAATTGTCGATATTCTTTATTTAATTTGAGCATTTCGTCGTTTGTTCAATTTTTATCAACACTTGTCGTCGTCATTGGGATTTCAGTATACAGTTTTTGTTACTTTTAGGTAGTATTTCCGTAAATTATGGATCGTCCTAAGAGAAAAGTCGCGACAGTAGACTATAAAAAATTAAATAATTTTGGAACTTCTGGTATAGATGACATGGCATTTGAGTATATATTTCAGAAAATGGCCGATAGTAATTCGGATCGCGATGAGTTGCAACTTCATGCAGAGGAAGATGATATACTCGACCTTATGTCAGATGATGAGTCGAACAAATTAAATGAGGCCGCTGCTTTAATTTACACTACGCCACTTAAAACAAAGATCAAAGAGAGTGATGCGTTAAAGCAACATGAGTCTGATGAAGATCTGGAGTTGAGAATTAAGTTGCTAGAAGAAAAGAAACAACGACTCAAGAGGGATCAGCTCAACAAGCGTCAAAGAAAAAGAGTAAAAAGTTAAAGTCAGGACTTAAAATAAAATCTGCAGATAAAGTTATAAGCCACAGTTTTTTTCCACATAATTTTTTACAGTATGAGTATGTGAGTAAAGATTTGGAGTTTAAACAATTGAATTTTAAAATGCTTGTTGCAGGAGAACTCAAAATTATAAATAACTTCTGCAAAAACAAATCTGAAAAAGAAGGACATTTAAAATTATTACAGAAAATTGCCTATTTTAGTTCCATTTATCACTGGGCATCGGTATTAGAATTTTATGCTGTCTGGTTAAGACTTATTCAGTTAGGTAGAACAACATGGTCTGATGACTCACAGATGTTAGAGAATGTAATGTTAAGTGGACAAAGTTTGCAAAAGAAGTGAGGCAAGCCAATTTTAGATCAGTCTCCAAAAATCAAGCTGGTAAAGAGCAAATTTGGTTGTGTGTTAAATATCAGCGCAATAAATGTGAACATAGCAACTCAACTCACACAACAGTCATTAGAGGTATAACTAGGACTGTGCATCACATATGTGGTTCATGTTGGCAAAAAGATAATATCCAAAAAACACATCCTGAGTGTTCAGACAATTGCCCGAATAAAAAAGCCTGACTACAAAATTCATGTTTACATAAGAAAGATCATTGTAAATTGTGTATTGCAGTATTTGAAGTTATTTTACCAGAACAAAATTCTCTTTTGAATTTGCATAATTCCTTCATTGGTGTATCAGGATATAATTGTGATTTATTTAAAGTTCCAGTTTATTCTTAATTATGTATTAAGTTTTGGAGACAAGAATTATGTGATTATGAAGACCAAGAAGTCTGTGATATGTTGGAATTTGGTTGGCCTTTAGGTTTTGATAGAAAATTTGAGGAATTTGGAAACAATAAAATTGCTAAAAATCATAGTGGGGCAAGGGATTTTGCCAAAGATATTGACAAATATATCAAAAAGGAGGTAAGCTATGGTGCTGTACTGGGTCCTTTTGCATCAAACCCATTTAATGATCATTTGGTAATATCTCCTTTGAATTCTGTGCCAAAAGCAAACTCGGAAGAAAGGAGAGTTATCATGGATTTAAGTTTTCCAAAGGGTAAATCAGTCAATGATGGAATTGATAAAAATGTTTATTTAGGTAAACATATAGAACTTCATTATCCTAATGTAGATAATTTTATTGAAATCATTAAAGAGAAAGGTAAATTCTGTAAAATTTTTAAAAGGGATTTACGCCGAGCCTATTGACAAATTCCAGTTGATCCAAAAGATTATAATATAATTGGTTTTACCTGGAAAGGTCATTATTTTGTTGATAGAGTTTTACCTATGGGTTTAAAATCAAGTGCTTTCATTTGTCAGACAGTTACGAATGCTGTCAGATTAATAGCCAAAAACCATGATATATCTTTGATAAATTATTTAGATGATTTTGCTGGTGCTGAAATTAGTGAAAAAGCAGATATTTCATATAAAAAATTGAAATGGGTTTTAGATAGCTGTGGTTTGGAAGAATCGGTAGAGAAAGCTAGTAGTCCTTCTCACAGAATGAGTTTTTTAGGTGTTTGGTTTGATACTGAGAAAATGACAATGGAAGTCACTCCTGATAGATTGGTGGAGATTTTTGACTTAGTTTCATTTTGGTTAAATAAAGACACTGCATCTTTAAAAGAAGTACAGTCCTTAATAGGAAAACTGAATTTTATTGCTAGTTGTGTTCGACCAGGTCGTATTTTTATATCAAGAATTTTAAATTTTCTTAGGGAGTTTAAAAATGAGGATTGTGTTTTAGAGGTTTCCTTGGAATTGAAGCATGATCTTCTCTGGTGGTCAGAATTCTTGGAGATATATAATGGTGTTTCACTGTTGAATCTTCAAGAATGGACAAAACTAGACGAGTATATGGCTTCAGATGCATATTTGGTTGGTTGTGGAGGGGTTTCGAATGGACAGTTCTTTCATTGTGTGTTTCCAGATTTCATTGTCCAGCAAAACTTACATATAAATGCTTTGGAATTACTGTCAGTTATTGTTTGTTTGAAGTTGTGGGGACAGAGAGGCAGAAAGATATGCATTCAGTGTGACAATATGGTTTCAGCTCAAGTTATTAATCAAGGGAAATCAAGGAGTCGTTTTTTTCAAGCATGTCTTAGAGAAATATGTTTTATTTGTGCAATTAAAGAATGTGAATTAAGAGCTATTCATATAGACGGTATTGATAATAGGTTACCTGATATGTTGCCCAAATGGAGTTTGTCAGATATTTACCCCATGCAATTTTATAAATCAATTGAAGGTAGAAATTTTCAACATATTAATGTAGATTCAATTTTTTTCAGATTCTGTCACAATTGGTGAACGTAGTTTATCTGTTGATCTCCACATGCTTAAAACACAAGCACAAAAATTTTTGAAATCTGCACATGCATCAGGAACTAGAAAAAATTTAAAGATACAGTGGAAAGCCTTTTTTCTGTTTTGTCATTTTTATAATTTAAAAACATTGCCTTGCGATTTAAACACACTTTGCTTGTTTGCACAGTTTTTAAGTAGATCATTTAAAAGTGTAGACTCAATCAGAAATTATCTGAATGGAGTTAAGGTGTTACATTTACTTTTTGATCTATCTTTTATTCATTTTGAGTCATTTTATTTTAGATTATTTATGAAGGGATTAAAATGATGCAATCCCCACACAGTTTGGGCAGCTCTTCCAATCACACCTAGTATTTTATTAAAAATAAGGGAAGAATTAGATTTCGATGATGTCAATAGTTATACATATTGGTGCATTTTTCTTTTTACTTTCTATTTGATATGTAGAAAATCCAATTTGGTTGGGACAGTAGATGATAGCTCTAAATGTTTGCATAGAGAAAATATTTCAGTTTTTAAAGATTATTTATTAGTTCAGTTTCGTTGGTCTAAGACTATACAATTTGGGGAGAGAGTTTTAGAAATACCAATTATTAAAAATTTATCCTCTCCGTTATGTGCATTTAGTGCCTTCAAGGCCATGTGCAAAAAATTTCCTGTTTCAGCATCTTCCCCAGCTTTTCTTGTATTATCTGGTAGAAAAACTAAGCCAGCTTCCTACAATATGTTACAGACATTTTTAAAAAACATTATTGAGAAAATTGGGTTAGGTCCAACAAAATACTCATCTCATAGCTTCAGAAGAGGAGGTGCAACTTGGGCATGCCAATGTGGTGTATCTTCTGAACTCATTCAATTACAAGGGGATTGGAAGAGTGACGCCTATAAATTGTATCTTAGATATGGTTTAGATGACAAGATGCAAGTCTCATCAAAAATGATTTGTAGACTATGATATATGTTTTTTATTTGGAATTATAATTTTATTAGTAGTTAATAATTTACATTATATTGTAGGTTTGAAGGCATGGGGTAAACCCAGTTTAGTAATATCAGATTCAATTTTAAAGTATCTTCCGGAGATGAGAAATACGCAACTCCAGGCCTTTGGTGGGCTGAGTTGCGAAATGCTTTTAAGGAAATTAAAAAACAGGGTATTCACCTGGTACTTTTAACAATATAATTGTACATATGGGTACAAATGATGTATTTAACATTAATACTAATTTATTTGAGAAGTACATTCGTGATATTATACATGAATTGAGGATTTGTAATCCAGACTGTGTTATTATTTTATCTTCAAAATTACCCAGGCCATGTGATTTTAATCATTCTGAATTGTTCATCATCAATTTTAACAATGTACTAAAACAGTTGGCTTCCTCTCTTACTAATGTCAGATACATGGCATGTGAGAAGACTTTTTATAATAGAGTGAGGAAGCCAATTAACACTTTATTTTCAATTGACAAATTGCATTTGTCCACCACTGGTCCTAATAAGGTTTTTAGCTTTATAGCTAATACTCTTGCACATCTTTAAATCTTTTGAAGTAGAATGAATTTTGATTATGTTTGAAATTTGAATAAGAATTTTAAAATCAAATTTACTAGTAAATTGCAGCTTATTTTTAGGAGAAGGTTTACTCTTAATCTCCACATGAGAGAGAGTAGAATTTTGATCCTGTTTTTTCTATTATTGTAGAGGGTTTACACTGTTGACTCTATCATGCATCCTTGTTAGTACACCTGTCCTTGTGATGGGGGATCGAGGTTCGAGTCCTCGACTTGGATTATAGAAGATGGTGTAGACTTACTCTCTAATTATTTTAGAATTATTATAAAAGTTGCAATTTGCAGTTTCTGAGATTTGTTTGTTTGGCGGACCTTCGGTTTGGCGGGTATGAAATTTACATTTCATTTGTATCTCATAGAATTTTTATTTTGTTATGCTTCATTCTTTATATTTATTAAGATACTTCTTAGTAGTTCTTTAATTCAGAGTTTATTTGTCAGTTATAATCTATGATCACATGGTATTTCATTTGTGTTATAATCTTGACATATGTATATATTATTATGACTACCTGCAAAGCCTAAATAGAAGTTTTTATTTTAACAGTATTTTCTTCTGAATTAATTTGTAATTTTTTTTTTAGAGATTAAAAATGAATAATTATTGAAGAATCAGAAAAATAATTTAGTGAATTGGTAAATGGACAATTGGTCTCACTTCATTTAACAGTTAACACATCTCTGGTCAAGGTTTAGTTTGGACTGACTTCTAATTTAATTTAAACACGTTTCTTTTATTGGTCACGCAGTACAGTAATTTATATTGGATAAAAATTTCAGTTTAAAAGTAGAACTCACTACTGATTTTCACTTTTCAGAAACACTAGAAAACAGGTAGTCAACATTTTAATAATTTAGAATTTTTATGTTTAAATATGTCTTAGTTTGTCGTTGAAACTTCTATCAGCGTAATTAATTTGTTAATGAACATTGTGTTTCGTCGGTTGTTCATTTTTCAAAACCCTCCCTCCCTTTCCCTAAATGTGGAATAGATTTGTATGAGGCGGGTATGAAATTTACATTTCATTTGTATCTCATAGAATTTTTATTTTGTTATGCTTCATACTTTATATTTATTAAGATACTCTTAGTAGTTCTTTAATTCAGAGTTTATTTATCAGTTATAATCTATGATCACATGGTATTTCATTTGTATTATAATCTTGACATATGTATATATTATTATGACTACCTGCAAAGCCTAAATAAAAGTTTTTATTTAAACAGTATTTTCTTCTGAATTAATTTGCTAGTTGTCTCCCTTAGCATGCTTAGTGAGGACAAAATTTGATCATTTGTCAACATTCGTTAGAGTTTATCCATATACACTTTGTCCTAACTGATATAGTTTACCTATTTATGTCCTGAATGCTAGAGTTTACCTGTTTAAACTGTTTTCTGATTGCTAGAGTTTACCTGTTTACACTATTTTCTGAATGCTATAGTATACCTGTTTACATAACATTCAAAATACTAAAGCTTTCCTGTTTATGTAATGTCCTGAATGCTAAAGTTTAACTGTTCCACATTACATTCAGAATGCTATAGTTTACCTTTTTATATAATGTTCGGAATGCTGAATAGAAGTTTTTATTTTAACAGTATTTTCTTCTGAATTAATTTGTAAATTTTTTTTTAGTGATTGAAAATGAATAATTATTGAAGAATCAGAAAAATAATTTAGTGAATTGGTAAATGGACAATTGGTCTCACTTCATTTAACAGTTAACACATCTCTGGTCAAGGTTTAGTTTGGACTGACTTCTAATTTAATTTAAACACGTTTTTTTTATTGGTCACGCAGTACAGTAATTTATATTGGATAAAAATTTCAGTTTAAAAGTAGAACTCACTACTGATTTTCACTTTTCAGAAACACTAGAAAACACGTAGTCAACATTTTAATAATTTAGAATTTTTATGTTTAAATATGTCTTAGTTTGTCGTTGAAACTTCTATCAGCGTAATTAATTTGTTAATGAACATTGTGTTTCGTCATTTGTTCATTTTTCAAAACCCTCCCTCCCTTTCCCTAAATGTGGAATAGGTTTGTATGAGGCGGGTATGAAATTTACATTTCATTTGTATCTCATAGAATTTTTATTTTGTTATGCTTCATTCTTTATATTTATTAAGATACTTCTTAGTAGTTCTTTAATTCAGAGTTTATTTGTCAGTTATAATCTATGATCACATGGTATTTCATTTGTGTTATAATCTTGACATATGTATATATTATTATGACTACCTGCAAAGCCTAAATAAAAGTTTTTATTTAAACAGTATTTTCTTCTGAATTAATTTGCTAGTTGTCTCCCTTAGCATGCTTAGTGAGGACAAAATTTGATCATTTGTCAACATTCGTTAGAGTTTATCCGTTTACACTTTGTCCTAACTGATATAGTTTACCTATTTATGTCCTGAATGCTAGAGTTTACCTGTTTACACTATTTTCTGAATGCTATAGTATACCTGTTTACATAACATTCAAAATACTAAAGCTTTCCTGTTTATGTAATGTCCTGAATGCTAAAGTTTACCTGTTCCACATTACATTCAGAATGCTATAGTTTACCTGTTTATATAATGTTCGGAATGCTATAGTTTACCTGTTTATATAATGTTCGGAATGCAGTAGTTAGTTTATTGTAGTATCCATCCGCTGTTGGTTGTCCATAATTGTTGTTTGTATTGACACATCTCACCATATAATGTAACTGTGGTGTAGTCAATAGTCCTAAAATAGTAAACAGGAAGACATATTTATTGGATAAAAAGCTGTTGATTTTAGCTTCATGTGTGGAGGAAACTAGAGGATCTGTCCACCTAAGGAGCACCACCAGTTAGCTTTATGTTTTGAGGAAGCTAGGGTATCTTTCTACTTAGGCAGAAAACCAGTTGCAATGAGTTTATATAGATGCATAGAAGAGCTAGGTAAAGAGATACTTGGGACAGTATATTTATTGATTTAAGGTAGAGAAATATTGTATTTAACTACATGTATTTAAAAAAGATTAATATTGTATCCAACTGCAGTTGTAAAAAAAAATATATACATATTAACCATTCAGTACAAAATTAAGGAGATGTGGTATGATTGTCAATGAGATAAATATCTATCAGAGAACAAAGGATGAGGATGTAAATAAAGTGTATATTTACTATTTATGGATCATTGATGCAAAAATGTTCCCATATCACAATGCAGTTTATATTACATACCAAAATTTTGAAAGTTTCCCCCAGCTGCAGTGATGCCCTCTTGTAAAGCACTGGCTAAATGCTCACTACTTGGTCTGAAACATAAATATGATGCTCACTATATATTCCAATATAAATCATCAACCATTTATAGTAACAGATATAAGCCATATTTAAAACATACTAATTTACTGTTAGAAATAAAGGTTAAGTGTTAGGTATTGCAGGTATTGCAGGTTTGTATTTACCGGTTTGCAATTTTCACTTTTTTTTATTACTCAGACATTTCTTTAACTTTCACTTTATTTTTTTTCATGTTGTTTTGCCTCAAAGAAATAACTCAACTGCTGTGATGGATGAATTAACTATATACACTGCTGGCATTTGACAAAATATGTCCTTATTTGTAATATTTCCCATGAAAAAACACTGTGAATTGACAAATGGGTGATGCTCCACATTTGTTGCTACAAAATTACTGTAAATGAGGAAATTATTGCAAGCATTTACTATTGCAAATTTTGAAGACTGAATTAAAATGAGAGATTAATTATTGCGATTTCCAGAAAAGCTTTATATATATATTTGTATCATATATGAGTATGCAAGTTATTATTGCGATTCTTACCCAGTCCCATTATATGCAATAATTTCTGAATTTACAATATACATGAAGTAGATATGTAGAGCTGTAATAAAACAGTTAAATTCTAATAATTAAAATGCTTAATTTGAAAATTAACTGATTTAAGGTGCTACCCAACACCGTGACTAAAATTAATTTGGCTCGTTTAATTTTCATAAAATTTTGACAAAATATTTACTTTGACCCTTTGAAAAAAATATAAAAATTTCAAAAAACTTGAACCAATCACTTTCTCGGAAAAAATTCATTGGATATATAGCAGTTTATATTTTGTTAAACTTTTGAATTCGTCGTTCCCCTGTACCCACGAAATCCACGAAAATTGGTATCCAACGAATAATAATGAATCCACAGTAGTAGTCATTAAATTGTTTACACGATAATTAAAAAGAAGTTAATCAATGTTGTAAGCAGTTATCTTTTATCTTTGGCACAAACGGTAAATAAACAGGGATTTTCATGACCTGTTTTAAGATGGTGCACCATTTAACGAAAATATTGGTTATTCTATAATGAAATTGATATATGATACACAATATATCAATCAGTTTATTCACTATTCCTAACAATAAAATGGAGGAAATAAATAACTTCAATCACGACACACAAGGTTTTGTCCTGGTGAACGTTCCTTATTGGTTAAATTTTCATCCATAGAGATCCCTGAAATAAATAAAAGTTTTAAATCAATGATGTAAACAGTTACCTTGTATCTCTGGCAAAGAATACATTAGCAGGTTGGTTTTCATCGATATTCTCTTGTTGTATAATGGTATTAAGTTCTGTTGCAATGTCATCATCACTACAAAAAGCATAAAATATTAACTATACACAAATCAATCTTATCAAGGGCAACTGTAAACTGAAATTAGTTCAATATTAAGAATAAATACTTTTACCTAGATTAAAAAAAAACAACCCAAAACACTGGAATGTTTATTTAGTACCTGTCCATCTTAAATATCAGGCTGAGGAAAACAGCATATGAATGAATAGATATAAGAAGATGTGGTATGAGTGCCAATGATACAACTCTCCATCTAAGTCACAATTTGTAAAAGTAAACCATTATAGGTAAAAGTACGGACTTCAACACGGAGCCTAGGCTCACACCAAACAGAAAGCTATAAAGGGCCCCAAATATGACTAGTGTAAAACCATTAAAACAGGAAAACTAAAGGTCTAATCTACATGATCTATATAAAAACGAGAAACGAGAAACACTTATGAACCACATCAACAAACGACAACCACTGAACATCAGGTTCCTGACTTAGGACAGGTGCAAACAAATGCAGCGGGTTTAAACATTTTAATAGGTGCCAACCTTCACCCTACCTGAAACAATAGTGTAACATCACAACATAGAAAGACACAATATGAAGGCTACATTGATTGCAGCATGATACTACCACAACATGTCAACTATGGAACATTGAACTGTACATATCATAAGCCACAGTGGACACAGTTTTGGGCTTGACACAGGAATATGTAGGTCATAGATTATTGACTGCTTATAACTAAGAAAATGCACGATCTACATTAGATCTCACCAAAGGAAAGACTTTAATAAATAATTCATAGAAAAACTACATAAAACCTTTACTTGTTGGAATCTGAAAAGTTCAAAATGAAAAATAAAACAACTTTAACATTCAAATTAAAATTTTAAGCACCATGTAAAAGAATGTATGAAATACTAAGCATTAGATAAACTTTGAGGGCAATAGCCCAATGGGCATATCTAATATACACCGAGATATTATTGTCAATGTAGAATGATAGTTTTTAATAAGTTAGGAGGGGGGTCTTTCAGTGATTTGACCATATGTTATTGAAAAGCATGATGAATACAGGATATCCAATTTCATTTTACCACATCTTTATGTAAGTACAAATAACACTATATCAAAGTATCATCCATTTAACTGATATTATGTTGAAAATTATCTTGAATAACCATATGATCATGATGATATTGCATAAAAATCTTATGAGAAAGAATACTTGTAAGTCATGACCATTTCAGTATAACTAACAATCATTTTTAGAAGAAACATTTTGTGGTGAGAAGAGCCACAATTTAACAGAAAAAAGGAACCTACATGTACCATTTCTGATTTAAAATGAAAGATTTCTTTCTAGCCAATAATGGCGTCCATTGCTGAGCATAGTAATCTTTCATAACAAAACAAAATAAATACATAAAACAAAATTAAAATCTTTAATTAACTATAATCATATATATGTGATTAAAATGAGAAAATAATGACAAAAAGAAACAAAATATAATCATACATGTCAGAATACACAATACTAAATTAACCACATATCAATCTATATTAATAACGATGATATTTACCGATCAGGAACCACACTTTAAGATAAGAGCATTAGCAAAATCAAAACTGTATGCGTCATGTGTTTATTTTAACAATTTTTTCTTCAAATAAGTTTTTAAAATTTCTGATCTGCTCAATGTTTAAAAATACAAGGACTTACATATTTTTCAAGCTGAAATTAGGTCTAATATAATTTTAGAAAATGTAAACATTTGTATATGTGGTACTTATATGTATAAATACAATTTTTTTTTCAAATTTTAACTGAAGAAAACTAGTGAATGGTGAATCCTTGTTTATTTAATTCTTTGTACAACCAATTGGCTAAATATTTGAAAAACCAAGTTGATTTATTGTAACATGTAATTACCAGCTAAATCTATCCAGAATATTATACTCAAGATTTTCACTGAATCATTTGGAAAAGAGATTCTACCATTTAATCCAAAAAGTTGTGATACTTATATATACTTATTATCATAATTTTATTATAACTATCAAGATAAGATAAATACCATTGTCAATTAGGTATTATTGAAGGATTTCTCTTTATCTTACAATAAACAGTGCTGTTCCTTTGCTTTTTGTGTGTTTTTTGCTGTGCATGTACTGATTTTGTGTTTTTCTAGGATGTATTTTCATTACATAAACATTCAGATCACCACAGTTAAGTAAAATTACTTACATTATAACCATTTTTCCAAAATTTTCATATCTATATAGATTTATACCTAAGCTTAAGACTAAAGCTTCAGCTGCCATCTTTTAAGATTTCTTTCGACTTAAATGTTATCTACCCTTAAATCAAGGCAACAGTATTTTACCCTAACCAATATCTCATAAATTGACTTAAAAGATACAAATCAAGGAAACAAACAAAAATTGAAGGAATCGCATGAACTCCAAAAGGAGGGAAACCAGGTGCATGGAAAAGGTAATTTTCTCTTGCAAAACCATACTTAGTCAAAATGTCACAATCGGGAAAAAGACAAAATTACAAATCAGGAAACTATTCTGGTATCGAAAGACCTAAGATTGAGAAAATATGTCACTAGTGAGTTTAGATACAGGCATATCACTCAAATACTCACTCAATATTTGCTAACTTTGTAGCAATACTTTCCCATGAAGATTCCAACATTTCTCCCATAGGATCTACAAGTTTTACTCCATTATCTTCCTCTGGATTGTGAGATGCTGTTATCATCGCACCTATTGTGGCTGAAATATACAATTTTTACATGAATTTAAAAAGACAATGTTTCAAGCATCACAAAATTTTCTCCCTTATTAGAATATATGAACATAGAACACCATATCTGTTAAGTGAATTTAAAAATCTGACTTAAAACCCTTATTTGGTATATATTTAAAACATTTTATATAAAGAGTTTACCTTTCTTAACTTTGGACCGCAAAACAGCCAGCACTCCCATTCTAAACAACACATGTTCCAAATCTTCACCTCTGCAAATAAAATAAAACATATGTTTAATAAAGAATGTTTTAACAACTATTACACTTTCAAAATGTTTTTTTAGTTCCTCCAAATCTTTATGTACTTTTATATATTGCATTTGTTGATTTAGTTAAATTAAAAATTTCATTTTATTAGTAAGAAGAAATACATCACTTGAAAAAAACCCATTAAATTATTTGACATTCTACAAACTTCCTAGTCTACTTCAAACACATTCAAGTGTTTAAGAAAAGACAAGTATTCTGAATCAATTCATGAACAGCATGTCAAACTACTGCTAATCATTTTCTTCTAGGCTAGCATTTAAGTGCAAACACTGTTAAGAGGCAAATGATACAGTTACAGGGGAGGTAATGATGTTGCTAACGTAAAATGTTATTTTTCACGTCAAACTGTGACATATCGGGAAAAGATGCATTTTCGACTGATTTTTATCATTCAGACTGATTTAACTTGAAAACGAGTTCATGGACCCTAGGCCTCTTTTTGAAAAGAACATTTAGCTTGATTATGTATGAAGATTATTTGTGCTAATTTCAGGGTTCTCACTAGGAATTTTTCATGGTGAGTCCTGGGACTCATCACTTTTAGAAATGGTGAGTCCCAATAGATTTTGATGAGTCCAGGAAGCATTTAATTTTTTGTGTCTTAATATGATGAAATAAAACTAAAATGACGCGTGTTGGATAGGTAGTTTTTATTATATCAATAAAAGTTATGATATCTTAAGTTATTGTCCATTACAACTTGTATAGACTGCCATTTCCTCTCTTTGTTTGGTTTAGTTGGTGTAGTGACAAGTTGTTGTTTCTGAAGATCTTTCTATGTCTATCAATTCTTGGTGTAGTGAGTCATTGACTCTTGGGTCTTTAACTTGGTTCAGATGATTCAATGTCATCAGGTTCTCTTTTGAAGGACTTTAACTTTGACTGACTCTGACATTGTGATACTGATGTCAATTTTTTGAACAAGCCAGTATTTATAAGAAATTGGGATTGCATGAACACAGACTTGTCACAGTTCATATTAATTATTATTAATCAATTTTAATCATATTTAATCATTGAGTTAATAATCACTTTGATGTTTGCATCATGATAATTTTTATAATGTTTGATTAAAACAAGCAAATCTAAAGTTAACATCGTAACCGTAAATCATTTTTTAATTGGATTTGTTTCAATTTCAAAACATTTTTCACCTTTGTTTAGTATCGCGATGTTTAACATGCACAATACGAGAACAAAGTTAAATCATTTGAAGACCAGTAAAATTATTCTTATCCGTAAAATATTTCAATAAAATGCTTCGCTGGGCGCAGCTTGATACGACCGCAGAGGTCGAACCCTGAACAGTTGGGGCAAGTATGGACACAACATTCAAGCTTGATACAGCTCTGAATTTGGATTGTGATTAAATATTTGACACAGCATAGGTTTCTGACACAGAAAGAATGTGGTCTAAGAACTTCAATTTTTTTAATTTACCTATTATGGTCCAATGTCCAAAATCAAAATACATGGTTAGATTCAGCATATCAAAGAACCCCATATATTCAATTTTTGTTGAAATCAAAAAAAGTTTAATTTTGGACCCCAACTTGGACAAATTTGAAAACTGGTCCCATAATCAAAAATCTAAACACATGTTTAGATTCAGCATATCAAAGTACCCCAAGAATTCATTTTTTGTTAAAATCAAACTAAGTTTAATTTTGGACCCTTTGGACCTTAATGTAGACCAATTTAAAAAACGGGACCCAAAATTAAAAATCTAAAAACACGGTTAGATTTGGCATATCAAAGAACCCCAATAATTCAATTTTTGATGAAATCAAACAAAGTTTAATTTTGGACCCTTTTGACCACAATATGAACCAATTTGATAGCGGGCCTACAAAATAAAAAATCTAAATACATGGTAAGATTCAGCATATCAAAGAACCCCATATATTCAATTTTTGTTGAAATCAAACAAAGTTTAATTTTGGACCCCAATTTGGACCAACTTGAAAACTGGGCCAAAAATCTAAAATCAAAATACATGTTTAGATTCAGCATATCAAAGAACCCCATATATTCAATTTTTGTTGAAATCAAACAAAGTTTAATTTTGGACCCCAACTTGGACCAACTTGAAAACTGGTCCCATAATCAAAAATCTAAACACATGTTTAGATTCAGCATATCAAAGAACCCCAAAAATTTAATTTTTGTTAAAATCAAACTAAGTTTAATTTTGGACCCTTTGGACCTTAATGTAGACCAATTTAAAAAACAGGACCCAAAATTAAAAATCTAAATACACGGTTAGATTTGGCATTTCAAAGAACCCCAATAATTAAATTTTTGATGAAATCAAACAAAGTTTAATTTTGGACCCTTTTGACCTCAATATGAACCAATTCGATAGCGGGCCCACAAATAAAAAATCTAAATACATGGTAAGATTCAGCATATCAAAGAACCCCATATATTCAATTTTTGTTGAAATCAAACAAAGTTTAATTTTGGACCCCAATTTGGACCAACTTGAAAACTGGGCCAAAAATCTAAAATCTAAATACATGTTTAGATTCAGCATATCAAAGAACCCCATATATTCGATTTTTGTTGAAATCAAACAAAGTTTAATTTTGGACCCCAACTTGGACCAACTTGAAAACTGGGCCCATAATCAAAATTCTAAACACATGTTTAGATTCAGCATATCAAAGAACCCCAAGAATTCAATTTTTGTTAAAATCAAACTAAGTTAAATTTTGGACCCTTTGGACCTTAATGTAGACCAATTTAAAAACGGGACCCAAAATTAAAAATCTAAATACACGGTTAGATTTGGCATATCAAAGAACCCCAATAATTCAATTTTTGATGAAATCAAACAAAGTTTAATTTTGGACCCTTTTGACCTCAATATGAACCAATTTGATAGCGGGTCCACAAATAAAAAATCTAAATACGTGGTTAGATTCAGCATATCAAAGAACCGCAAGAATTCAATTTTTGATGAAATCAAACAAAGTTTAATTTTGGACCCTTTTGACCTCAATGTGGACAAGGTTGATAACGGGGCCCAAAAATCAAAAATCTAAATACATGGTTAGATTCAGCATATCAAAGAACCCCATATATTCAATTTTTGTTGAAATCAAACAAAGTTTAATTTTGGACCCCAATTTGGACCAACTTGAAAACTGGGCCAAAAATCTAAAATCTAAATACATGTTTAGATTCAGCATATAAAAGAACCCCATATATTCAATTTTTGATGAAATCAAACAAAGTTTAATTTTGGACCCTTTTGACCTCAATGTGGACAAAGTTGATAACGGGGCCCAAAAATGAAAAATCTAAATACATGGTTAGATTCAGCATATCAAAGAACCCCATATATTCAATTTTTGTTGAAATCAAACAAAGTTTAATTTTGGACCCCGATTTGGACCAACTTGAAAACTGGGCCCATAATCAAAAATCTAAATACATGTTTAGATTCAGCATATCAAAGAACCCTAAAAATTCAATTTTTGTTAAAATCAAACTAAGTTTAATTTTGGACCCTTTGGACCTTAATGTAGACCAATTTGAAAACGGAACCAAAAATTAAGAATCTAAATACACGGTTAGATTCGGCATATCAAAGAACCCCAATAATTCAATTTTTGATGAAATCACACAAAGTTAAATTTTGGACCCTTTGGACCTCAATGTGGACCAATTTAAAAACGGGGCCCAAAATCCAAAAACTTAATACACGGTTAGATTCAGCATATATAAGAACCCCAAGAATTCAAGAATAAAACCCCATTGAAATTGATCAAGAAATAAGCAATTTATACGAAGTATCTTCTTTTGCACAATACAGTGCAATTGAATATTTCTTGCTATTGTGCAATACTGTACAATTGACAATTTCTTGCTATTGCGCAATATTGTGCTATTGGATATTTCTTGCTATTGCGCAATACTGTGCAATTGAAGATTTCTTGCTATTGCGCAATACTGTGCAATTGAAGATTTCTTGCAATTGTGCAATACTGTGCAATTGAAAATTTCTTGCTATTGCACAATACTTATTATATAATAATTTACACATCCTGTTTGGTGTGTATCTCCTACCATATCATTATTATTTGCTTTTAAATATTAATCAGAAATAACCAACTTAAAATGGAAAATTTTAAAAGAAAAAAAAAAGGAAAAAAAGAAAAAAAAAGAAAAAAAAAAAATCCCCCCCCCCAAATTTTGTGAACCCCCTTATGATTCATCACCCCCAAACTCAATCCCAGCCTTCCCTTTGTGGTATGGTACCTTGCAGTACAATTTCAGAGAGATCCATACACTTGAACACAAGTTATTGTCTGGAAACTAGAAAAATGCTTATTTTTGGCCCCTTTTTGGCCCCCAATTCCTAAACGTTTCAGGCAATTACCCCCAAACTCAATTCCGGCTTTCCCTTTGTGATATGGAACCTTGTAGTACAATTTCAGAAATATCCAAACACTTACACACAAGTTATTGTCATGAAACTAGAAAAATGCTTGTTTTTTTCCCCTTTTTTGGCCCCTAATTCCTAAAATTTTGAGGCAATTACCCCCAAAATCAATTACAGCCTTCCCTTTGTGATATGGAACCTTGTGGTACAATGTCAGAGAGATCCATACACTTACACACAAGTTATTGTCTGGAAGTTACAAAAATGCTTATTTTTGGCCCCTTTTTGGCCCCTAATTCCTTAACTGTTGGTACCATAACCCCCAAAATCAATCCCAACCTTCCTTTTGTGGTATTGAACCTTATGGTAAAATTTCATGGAGATCCATTCACTTAAACTAAAGTTAGAGTGCGAAAACCAATGTGTCTTCGGACGACGCCGGACGACGACGACGACGACGACGACGCCAACGTCATACCAATATACGACCAAAAAATTTTCAATTTTTGCGGTCGTATAAAAATGACGCGTCCAGCTCGATTTTCATGCG